TCCATGATGTTGCGTGGATGCGCCGATGCCAGAACAGCGTGTTGGTAATTACAAGCACATGGGCTGCACAAAAATCTAGCAGCCTCCTACGGTTGTTATTGAGCTGATCTGGCCCATGCCCTCCAATCACTCCAGACTAGGTGCCAGCATCATGACCAACTCGGGCATTGAAGTCACCCAACAAGATGACTCTATCCCAAGGGGCCACTTTAGCCAGCACCTGTGACAGGAGGTCGTAGAAGGCATCTGACTCATCGGCTTTGCCTGCATCCCACCACGGATGTTCGTCTTCGGTGGGGGCATAAGTAACCACGACCACCACTCCTCACCTCCGGTTGATGGGAAGGCGAGCCCAAAGTAGCCTGGGGCTTACAGCTTTCCACACCTCACTGCCACGCTCCCACGCCCCCTTCATTATTTTGTTCAAAAGAAGAGCCACAACCTGTTGTTTGGCAGTATGCTGCCCCGAGTAGAGGACTGTCCACCCCTCATGGTGGCAGAAGCCAGAACCGGTCCACCGGACCTTCTGAATGCCACAGAGATCCAGGCGGTACCGGTCCTGCTCCCGACAGAGGAGTGGCAGCCTCTCCTCCGCAGTGAGCGTTCGAACATTCCACGTGGCCACACAAAGTGGCTTTTCCTTGTTTCTGGAGGACCCCTGAGGGTAGAGATTCAATCTCCTGGCTCCGCCAATTGGGGTTTGGCCAGGAGACGTCATAGACGCCTGTCCCCCCGGGGCCTCCGGCACAAGCTTATTAGTTAGATATTTTAGACGTGGTTTAGTGATAAAATATTTGAAAGTGGAGGGGTTACCAGCCCCTCGCACCCGTCCAGAGCCCCCGTTTAGCCCCTGTGGTGGTGACAGACGCCATGAGGGGAGGAGCCAATCGGAATTGGCCCTCCCCCCACAGCACTGTCCACGACAGAGTTGCCCGTCCGGCACCGCGAGGAGGTAGGGGGTTGTTTTGCCGGACTACACACACACATACAAACACATACACACTCGTCCACTCGTACGCTACATCACGACATATGCGTTTTGCGGTAATGGAGCGGTTAGCGTGCTGTGCTGTGCCCCCCCCCCCCACTCTGGGCTGTGCCCCCCACCCCCCCCCCCCACTCTGGGCTGTGCCCCCTCGACTCTGGGCTGTGCCCCCCCACTCTGGGCTGTGCCCCCCCACTCTGGGCTGTACCCCCCCCACTCTGGGCTGTGCCCCCCCCCTCCACTCTGGGCTGTGCCCCCCCCCCACTCTGGGCTGTGCCCCCCCCCTCCACTCTGGGCTGTGCCCCCCCCTCCACTCTGGGCTCTGCCCCCCCCCCCCCCCCACTCTGGGCTATGCCCCCTCGACTCTGGGCTGTGCCCACCCCCACTCTGGGCTGTGCCCCCCCCCCACTCTGGGCTGTGCCCCCCCCACTCTGGGCTGTGAATGACACCCTTTATCAATGTGTAATGGGTTCAACTGAGTCGCAGACGTATACTTGGAGGCAACACATTTATTCAACTCCAACACACGGAGTAACTTCCCCTTAACATAATAACAACCTGTGGTGGTGACCACCAGGCTCACTACACTAGTTACTACACTAGTTACTACACTAGTTACTACACTAGTTACTACACTAGCTAATACACTAGTTACTACACTAGTTACTACACTAGTTACTACACTAGTAACTATACTAGTTACTACACTAGTTACTACACTAGTAACTACACTAGTTATTACACTAGTAACTACACTAGTTACTACATCACTAGTTACTACACTAGTTACTACACTAGTTACTACACTAGTTACTACGTCACTAGTTACTACACTAGTTACTACACTAGTAACTACACTAGTTACTACACTAACTAGAACGTAACTGCTACTACGGACCGAGACCAACAGCTCGGGTCCAGGTCCACGTGTTGGAGACTCGTTGAACGTAGAACGTACACGAAGGTTTCTTCCAGGATGAACAACAACAACCTCGGTCCCTCTCGGGACCCGGCTGATATTCTCTGTGGCGTGGCCGGCTCCGCCCTTGGCCACGACCACCTTCTAGAATCCTCGGGAAGGATCTGGGTCCCAATCACGTGACCACCCCTAGCCCCAGAGGGGGCTAGGGGTGGTCACGTGTCCTCCCGAGTCAACCAGAGTGCCGTAGCCTCGAGTAACCTCATCCCTCGGCCGGCACTCCCACACCCTGTCCTGTAGGGTTGGCACTGCACGCCAAGCGTGGTGCCATCCAGCGCTGTCAATCAGCGCTCACCGGGCCCCTCTACGGGCCGGCACTGCTCGGTGACATCCCGCGATGTCACTACATCACCCCCCCCCCCCTCGTAGAACTCAGCCGTCCCGGCTGTCAACTCCCCCTCAACAAAACAACAAAGCCCCTTAGTGTGCCTCAACAAATAAATACCCCATCCCATATATACAATATATACGGAGACAAACGGGGGAAGGGGACAGAAGTACAGAACAACAAGAGGCGAACACAAAGGAAGAGAGAGACGGGAAGAGAAAAAAAAGAACACATAGTAGCACGCGAAACCTCGGGACCCCCTCCAGCACCAGCATCTCCCACCCTCACCGTGTAACAACACCCGCAAGCACAATAAAGGCCGGGTTCAGCCAATAACCAATACGACGTGACGAACGCGACAACCAACTGACGGTGTGGGAGCGCGTGTGTATGGGGTCACGAAAACCCAAGTGTCTTTGATCGAGTCCTTGTGACCGGGCCCCCAGGAGAGGTGGGCGTACTCTCCCCCGGGGGTCTCGGGGGGGAATTTGAAAAAGTCCCTTCGTATCCGGCTCCTTACGAAGAGCAGTCGGCCGGGCAGATGGGTCTTCTGCTCCCGAAGCTTGCGGAGACGGCGCAGGTGGCGGCTTGGGGGACGTTAAACGCGCAGAACCTTCGAATATAGTGGAGTGGAGGACGTTCGGGCTGATGATGGCGGTGGTCTTCCGCCGTCGTTGTTGTTCATCCCGTCGCACCATGCCGTCCCCCTGCCAGCCTCTGCCTTGGGCCGAAGCGCAGGCTTGGATGGGCTCCACATCTTCGGGTGTATCACGCGCCTTACGAGGCGCGGTACACGCCGCCAACCCCTTATGTCGTTGCAAGAGCAGGTGCGCCTGGATGCATCTTGCAACCTTGAGAGACGACAAATCGTCTTCGTCGACAGCCGGCAGGACGATGTTGAGGTCCTTCGCCAACGTCAACAATCTGAGGACCAGCGAGCCGACTCCATCGTGGTCAATCTTCGGGAAGGCAGCCGTCGTTAGCGCCAATAGTGCGCTACGGAAGGACGGGGGGCGTCTCGGCCTCCCCCCCTCCTCCGCGCAGCTAACTTATGGCGGACGTTTGATGGCGGTTCGTAGATGGCCGCCATTTAAGCAAAGGCTTGTTGTAGCGTGGCCCTCTCCGACGGCGGGATGTTGTGATTGGCCCGACCACAGCGATGGCGCAGTGGTTGGGTCAATCGCTGGAGGGCGCAACGGTGGCGAGATGTTAACTACCTCGCCTGGTATACAGGAGGTCGTGAGGTAGACCCTGACGCCTGTTCTATATTTGGAGTTTGCGTGTCTCTCTCCCCGTGGTCGCGTGGATTTTTCTCCGGGTCTTCCGGTTGTTGCCTCCACATTTAGAATCAACACGCGTTCAGAGTATTTGTCTGCTGTAAATGTCCACACGATGATAGGCCACTTGGTCGATCTATCACTTGTGATAGCCAGGGTGGCTTCTGTAAAAGAGCTACACGGCAGCTCAGTGGGGCCTCACCATCACCCCCCCCCCCCTCTCGCACTGACCACCAGCGTCGTGAAGTATGGCCAAGCAAGCCCTACCATCAACACGGCGCGAGCACGCACGAAGACTCCCCCGCGTAGCCTCAACAGATTGTTGGGGAAGGCCGGCACGGCACACAAAAGGAGTGGCGATGTTTACACACCGCACCAGGTACTCATTTTGAGGCTGAGTCGACCTAGGGGGAGACCGAGGACCGGTTCAGATAATCGTCACTGGTGTTGGCCGTGAAACGACACACACAGACACACACAAAAACACACACACACACATCCAACACACACACACACACATCCAACAAACACACACACACATACAACACACACACATACAACACACACACACATCCAACACACACACGCTGCCTTCCACTTGATTCAGGGCGCGTGCTCATAGCGACCTGGGAGTACCCAGCGAGCGGCGGGGGCGAGTGGACGCACTGAGGGACGGGCGGGGGGGTGCTCTGTAAGGGGAGCGGGCTTTAGAGGGACAGAGTGGGCAGCAGGGGCAGCAGGGGCAGCAGGAGCCTCCCGCTCTCCCCGTGGTGCCGTGAACAGCCCCGTGTCCAGACCGCGTCACATCAATCATCGGCGCGTAACCGCAGCGACCACAGCGATGCTCCTCCTCCTCTTCCCTTCTCCTCCCTCCCTCCCTCCCCGCGTCTCCCACCGCGATGCACAAGGAGCCCGCATCCAGCACAGCCCCGCCCCTCTCCATCCATTGCATTGACCGCCCTCCCCCCATTTATTTCTCCCCACAGACCCCCCCCCTCCCTCCTCCACCCACCCATACAATCACACAACACCACCTACAACACACACACGGCGTAGGTCTATTGCTGGGATCGAGATGGAGTGGTCGCGGAGGAAGGGTGGAGGAGGGAAGGGGTTTGGGTGTGGATGGAGGGAGGAGAGAGAAGAGAGATGGAGGAGAGAGGATGCAGGAGATTAATGGAGAAGAAGGTTGTGGAGGGAGGAGAGAGGGACAAGGAACGAGGGATAGAGGAGGAGGGGGGGGCAAAGATGAGATGAGACAGCGGAGCGGGAATCAGCCAGAAGGCGGCAGGGATGGTGAGATGGAGAGAGAGAGAAAGAGATGGGGGGGAAGGAGCGAGTGAGGTGAGGGAGAGAGACGAAGGGAGGGAGAGATCAGCCGGGTAGGAGTGGGAGGGTTAAGGACCCGCCTTCGCTCAGACACACGTAAGTACACACGCACACACTAACACACCAGCGCGCAAGGACATCAATGCACGGTGCACATAGCACGCTAACACGCCTGCGCATTACACGACGCGGGCACGCACACACGCGCGCACACGCACACACGCGCACACACACACGCACACACGCGCGCACACGCACCGAGACGCACCGAGAGACACGCGGTTCGTCACCGCCGCGGCCGAGCTGGAGCGAGCAGCGGTGACGGTCTCTTCCCTCGGTCGCTCGCAGTCGCCATCGCTTCCTTCCCGTGGCTCGTAGCTCGAACGCTGCCGAGCGTCCTCGCATGGCCGGCCGAGTCGAGTGGCAAACGCGGCGGCGGTGGCGGCGGCGAGGAGGAGAGGAGGAGGAGAGGAGGAGGGCGCAGATCCACTGGACGGACGCGGCGAGCGCCACAGATTCTCACGTAGGGCGGCAAATGTATCCTACAGTGCGCGGCTCGGCTCGATTGTGAATCTGTGCGGTATCATCATCATCAGCAACAGCAGCAGCAGCAGCAGCTAGCACCGTCAGGAGCAGCGGCAGCGGCTGAAGCCGTAGCAGCGTCACAACAGCAGCAGCAGCATTGTCGCCGTCATCATCATCAGCATCGTCGTCGTAATCAACAGCGGCGGCAGTGGCAGAATCATCAATAGCAGCAGCGGCGGCAGCTTCATCGTCACCGTCATCATCAGCAGTATCGGCATCGGTACCCTCGCCATCAGCAGCAGCACCACGATTAGCATCAACCGCAGCATCATCAGAATCGACAACCGCTGCAGGATCTTCATCATCACCACGGTCTATCCACTGCTGAATGAACGTCCTGCCTGCCCACGTTGTCTCCATCCCTCACGGTCTCGTCCGCATCGCCCCACATCATCATCACCACCACCTCCTCCTCCGCGCTACGGAATGACGATCAGCGCCGTTGCGGATTTCCATCAAATTCTGCTCCTCCCGCCACCGCCACCGCCATCACCGCCACTACTACCACCACCACCGTTACGTACACGGAGGGGGTAGGAAACCGCTCCGTGTCGCCGAGACGCGGACCACGTGCGCGAACACTGCACCCGCGAGGCATCCATCCAGCAGTGGACGGACCACGGGCTGAGTACGCGATGCCATGTCAGGTGCACGTGGATTTGTTCATCGCTGTGCCCGTGTGTGTGCGCGTGTGCGTGTAGGACGCTCCGGCGAAGGAGGAGGATTACGACCGCTGTCCTCGCGCGCGTGAACATCGGTGAGACGCGCAGTTGCAGTGCGGCGAGGTGAGCACACGGAAAGACGAAGAGTTTATTTATCAAGGGGAGACGGAGGGACGCGGGGTGGCCGTACGGCTCGCAGGTCTGGGGGCGCTGAGCCGCCGGCACCGCTGAAAACCTGGGCTCGAATCCTGGCTCCAGCCGCCCAGCCGCAGTGGCTGACGCCTATAGGTCACGGGTGACTCGTGTCGTGACAGCGCAGACTCTCACGGAGGTCCATGCACTCCCACCGATAGAGCCATAGACTGAGACAGAGAGAAGCAGAGACTAATGTGGAGACTCGTACACTCACACAGAGAGCCAGAGACGTGCATGGCTGTGGTAGCAGCGCACGTGGCCTGTAATGCAGCAGAGTGGAGCAGCGAGGGTTAGTGGATCACGAGCACACACAGCGGTGAAACTCAATCCCGCGAGCGTCGATGTCTCTACCTCATGGCTTGCCAGGGTATGTGAGTACAGCAAGTAGGTTACCGTCCACCTCGACGGCTATTGAGCGTCCCCCCCCCTCGCACGCGTGGGGGTTTCTCCGGCCGCTCCCGCTGACTCCCAAAGTGTAAACAACGCATTCACTGATCGTGCCAAACAGAGGACCGCAGAGCTGAGAAAATTGTTGGCGTCGTTTCTGGCTGGCATCGCGCTCGTTTCTGCGTGGGGTTCCCCGCGCCACTAAACCATTCTCCCTCCCTCCCTCTCTCTGTCTCTCTCTCTCTTTCTGTCTGTCTCTCTCTGTCTCTCTCTTTCTGTCTCTCTCTCGATCTGAGGTTGAACGAAGGCTGCGCGTTCCAAAGTCTCGATTCAACAACATTCCAGCGGGATGCGCCTGTACCCAGCAAAATCACATCTCCCCTCCCTCTCCTTCCCTCAGCTATCCCCGTTAGCATGGCCGTGGCACGTAAAGTCCGGACCCTCTTGGCCCTCAACCTCCTCATGTTGGCCGCGCTGCTCCTCTTCCTCGTCTACTCGCGTTCCGTGGACCGCACCGAGCCGGCGGTCGTCGAGGCGATGGCCACGGCGGGCGAGGCGGCCTCGAGAGCGGCCGCTGTGGCCGCCCGGGCCCGGCTCACGCGCGCCCGGAGCAAGGCGAAAGCGCGGGCGAGGCGCGCGGGCGAGGCTGGGTTCGAGGCGGCGGTGGGGGACCAGGGGGGCAGCGTGGAGAGCAACGCGGGTGCCGCGGGGGGCGCGGGGATTCTCGGCGGGAGGAGAGGGGACCCGGAGGGGCTTCTCAAGCGGCTGGAGCAGCTGGAGCAGTTGGTGTACAGGAGACTTGGAGGTGCGCCTCCCCCCAGGCCGCGTCCGCCCACCGGGTTCGATTCCTGGCTTGATATTGGGACCGATGCGGGGAAGCTAGACAGGGCTCGGGATAAATGGAGCTCAGCTGATTAACACATAGGAGGCTTTCGCGACCAATATCATCCATAAAAAAGGTTTTTTTGAGTGAGATCGCGTAAATGTATAACTGTGTCGTTAAACCCGCCACCACCCGACACAGCCAACTAGTAAGGGTTGTCACGTAAACAGAACGTGGCCAGTTCGTCACTCGTACAGCACACCGGTGCGTTGGAGAGCCAAGCCACAACATTTACAATCGGAGTACGACGTTTCGCCAGTAATTACAACTAGCTCATCAGGCGACAGCCAGATTTGTGGAGAAGCCTGTTTTCACACTGGGTCCACGTGGGATCTCTCCGGGCATCACACGTGCTCCGTACGGGCACTGTGCCCGCCAGCGACACGGCTTGTGGCTCCGGGTTGAGGAGGCTACAAACTCCGCCTCGGGGTTTCCAGTCTCGGCTGATAGAGCATGGCACGTGGAGTCATCATCATCATCATCGCCATCAGCTCACGCAGAGACCCGCAGACTCGCATAGAGACCCGCATAGAGACACGCACACAGATGCCCATCATGCGACCACAGAGAGAGAGAGATCCATGGACCTCACGAAGAGTCCCAGAGACTCGCGTGGAGCCACAGAGGGTGACATGGAGGAGATGATATTTTCAGGAACGATACTAGGGCTGGGCTTAGAGTCGAGGTTATCGGCGTTATAGATATACAAAAACGTAAATTTTAAAAATAATCATTATAACGTAAAGATAATGTTATTAAATATGGCACGGAATGGGGCAACTATTGAATGTCTCGGTGACGATTTTTTTTAATAATAGGGGCAATCAACTAAATAGACAGCGCTAATTCCATCACCTACTTTGTTTATGTCGGAATGTGTTGTTGTTGTTGTCGTCTTGCTGTTCACCCGCCCGCTGTGTCTGTGTGATGCGTCTCTCGCACGATTTGGCTCTACTCGAAGCTTGCAGACCCCTGCCCACAACGCTGACCGATCCCTCCCTCGCCCCCTCGCTACCCCCCCCCCCCCCCCCGGACGGGGGTCGCGTGGGCCCCCCGCTGCTGGGCGCCGGGCCCGCAGGGGGGGGCCCCCCGTTGGGAGCGGGGGGACCCCTCCCCGACGGCCCCGGGTCGCGTGGGGGGGCGGCGGCAGCGGCCCGGGAGGCCGAGGGCCGCGCGTCGCTGCTGCTACAGCAGCAGCAGGGGGATGATGATGAGGAGGAGGAGGAGAAGCTGTACCACAAGTACGGCTACAACGCGCACCGCAGCGACCGCCTGCCGCTCCTGCGGGACATCCCCGACTACAGACCCGGCGGGTGGGTCGGGTGGGGGTGGGGGGTGCGGGGGAGGGGGGTGAGTTCATATGCGGAAGGTGGTGGGTGAAGGAGGGGGGCTGGTGGGTGGGGGGCGCGGGGGAGGGGGTGGATTTATATGGGGGAGGTGGTGGGTGGAGGTGGTGGGTGGAGGAGGGGGGCGGGTGGGTTGGGGGTGAGTTTATATGCGGGGCGGGCGGGCCGTGGGGGTGGGCGAGGTCATGTGGGGGAGGGTGAGGGGGCCTTGCATTGAGGAATGAGAGACGGGGGGCGAGCGGTAGTGTGGTGCGCTAAGAAACCTGGCGACCCGAATTCGATTCCGACTCACGGTCACCACGGGGTAGAGAGGGGAGGGTAGGGGTGGAGGTAGGGGTGGAGGGTTGGGGTGGAGGGTAGGGGTGGAGGTAGGGGTGGAGGGTAGGGGTGGAGGGTAGGAGTGGAGGTAGGGTGGAGGGTAGAGAGGGGAGGGTAGAGGTGGAGGTAGGGGTGGAGGGTAGGGGTGGAGGTAGGGGTGTAGGGTAGGGGTGGAGGGTAGGGGTGGAGGTAGGGGTGGAGGGTAGGGGTGGAGGGTAGAGAGGGGAGGGTAGGGGTGGAGGTAGGGGTGGAGATAGGGTGGAGGGTAGAGAGGGGAGGGGAGGGGTGGGGGTAGGGGTGGAGGGTAGGGGTGGAGGGTAGGGTGGAGGGTAGAGAGGGGAGGGGAGGGGTAGGGGTGGAGGGTAGGGGTGGAGGGTAGGGGTGGAGGTAGGGTGGAGGGTAGAGAGGGGAGGGGTAGGGGTGGAGGGTAGGAGTGGAGGGTAGGGGTGGAGGTAGGGTGTAGGGTAGGGGTGGAGGTAGGGTGGAGGGTAGAGAGGGGAGGGGTGGGGGGTAGGTTGAGGGCGATTTGCGTCTCTGCCTGCCACCACGTGGTAGTGAATTAGTCAATTGTTTAATTATTGATGTTGATGATCGCGTCTGCCCACAGCAGCATCGCTGGCGCCGCCACGTTTCTTATTTGCATATTGCATTATAATGAGTGTGTGTGGCTTTGTATCTTTATGGGGAGCGATAGTGTAGCGGTTAGCGCGCTGCGTTATGAACCTGGCGACACGGGTTCGATTCCCGCTCACGGCCAACACCAGTGACGATTATCTGAACCGGTCCCGGGCCTCCCCTAGGTCGACTCAGCCTCAAATGAGTACCTGGTGTGGTGTGTAAACATTGCCACTAGGGAGACAAAGGCGGTTGGGCGTGGTGCTGGCCACCCACCCCCTCGTGTACCGTTCCGGCCTTCATAGGTGCTCGCTAACAGCACTTGCTCCTACAGTCTGTCAAGGCTATATGGGGGATCTTTGTCTTTTGTGTAGCTGAGCGGCAATATCTTTTCATCGGTTGCGTAACGCTGTGTGGAAGCTACCTGGTCTGTCGCTCCGCACTAAGCTTCAGGTCTTCTCGGCCACGGTCATTCCCTCCCTTCTCTACGCTTGCGAAACGTGGACCCCCCCCCTAATGGAACATCTTCGCCGGTTAGAAACATTTAGGCTGGCCTGCCTACGATGAGCTCACAAATCCTTGAAAGATCTGGGCAAGGTCCCATCGGTGAGCTCCTCCGGCAGGCAAGGCTGCGTTGGCTGGGTCATGTAGCCCGCATGCCCAGCCACCGCATGCCTAAACAGCTTTTGTTCGGCCGGATCGAGGGGGCTAAACGGGCGCGGCACGGGCTAGAGAAGAGATGGAGTGATGTGGTACAGGAGGACGTGGAGCTGAGTGGACTTGCCGATGACTGGTACCAGCGGTGTCAAGATCGGCCTCTGTGGAGGCTCGTGAAGGACGCTACTGGGCAATTGGAGGCAGTCCCCCTCCAACAACAACTGAGGGCGGAGGAGCAACGCTCACAACAACGAGCGGAGCGCCGGGTGGCTAAAGCACAGCAGGTTGGCACAGTAGAGGGCACAGGTGGTGCATCAGCCAGTCATCTCAGTCAGTCGACCCGTGGCACCTGGGTCTGCCCCGTGACCTCCTGCCAGCGGGCGTTCGACACTCCACGTGGCCTCAAGGTGCACATGTCCTGGCACAAGCGTCGTGGTGACGTCACGGCCACTTAGTGGCGAATTGCGGTTGTTGTTGTTGCGTGTAGCTGTGTGCGTGTCGCTGTGTTGCGTGTGTGTGTGTCACTGTGTGTGTGTGTCACTGTGTGTGTGTGTCACTGTGTGTCGCTGTGTGTGTGTCACTGTGTGTGTCACTGTGTGTGTAGCTGTGTGCGTGTCGCTGTGTGTATACGTAGCTGTGTGTGTGTCACTGTGTGTCGCTGTGTGTGTGTTACTGTGTGTGTCACTGTGTGTGTGTAGCTGTGTGCGTGTCACTGTGTGTGTGTGTCACTGTGTGTGTGTCACTGTGTGTACGTGAGTGTAGGCAGCTGTAGTGTAGCGGTTAGCGGGAATCGAACCCGGCGATCCGAGTTCGATTCCCGCTCACGGCCAACACCGGTGACGATTACTCTTTGGTTCTTTCGGTAAAGTCACGTAGGTAAATAAATGAATAAAAATAGAAAACAACTCAAACAAATCACGACGTTTCGGAGGCAACACAAGAAGCTTCCGTCATCACGTGGCAACAGTCACAGCAAAATTACTGTGGTGAGTAGCGAGAGAGCTGTTTGTGACACGAGATTATATTGGGTAAGAAAAGGGGGCGGAGCCAGGGACCACGGATGCGGGGTGGGGGTGACGGGGATGAGAGAAACTCGGTAACGATGATATGAACAGGTCCTGGGCCTCCCCTAGGTCGACTCAGCCTCAAATGAGTACCTGGTGCTATGTGTAAATATCGTGACCGGGGAGACAAAGGCGGCCGGGCGTGGTGCTGGCCACCCACCCCCTCGTGTGCTGTGCCGGCTAACAGCACTTGCCCCAACATTCTGCTAAGGCTATACGGGGGTTCTTTGTCTTTGTGTGGGCAGTGGTTAGCGCACTGTCCCGAGTTCGATTCCCGCTCAGAAGCAAACAGCGGCGACGAATACCTGAACGTCGTGGCCTCCTCTAGGTCGACCCAGCCTTAAACCATCAGTCTCATTGGGCGTTACAAAGGCAGCCAAGGGATGTTGCTGGCTGCACCACCTCAATAGAATAGGTGCTATTCGCCAAAAGCACTTGCCCCAATCGTCTGTCAAGTCTATACGGGTGATCTTTGTCTTTGTGCACGGACGCGTGATGAATCGCGTCTCGAGCGAAGCGCTGCAGCCTGCAGCAGTACCACGCGCACCAGAGACAAAGATCCCCCGTGTAGCCTTCACGCTCTTTTGGGGCAAGTGCCGTTGGCGAACATTTATTAAGGCCAGCACGGCGCACCAGATGGGTGAGGGGGGGTTGCCAACCTTTTGCGATGTTAGCACATCGCAACAGGTACTCATTTAAGGCTGAGTAGACCTAGGGGTGGCATAGGACCGGTTGAGATAATCGCCACTGGTGATGGCCGTAAGCGAGATAGGAAGTCGGGTTCGCCGGGTTCGTAGCGCAGCGCTCACCACTGCAATACCGCTCCCCACACACCACACACACCGCACACCACACACACCGCACACCACACACACACCACACACACACCACACACACACACCGCACACCACACACACCGCACACCACACACACACACACCGCACACACACCACACACCACACACACCGCACACCACACACACCACACACTCACCACACACACCACACACTCACCACACACACACCACACACCACGCACACCACACACACCACACACACACCACACACACCGCACACCACACACACACCACACACACCACACACACACCACACACCACACACACCGCACACCACACACACACCGCACACCACACACCCACACCACACACACCACACACCACACACACCGCACACCACACACACCACACACTCACCACACACACACCACACACACCACACACACACCACACAAACCACACACACCACACACCACGCACACCACACACACCACAGACACACCGCACACCACACACCACGCACACCACACACCCACCACACACACACACCACATACACACCACACACACCACACACACACACACCACACACCACACACACCACACACACATCACACACCACACACACCACACACACCACACACACATCACACACCACACACACCACACACACACCACACACCACGCACACATCACACACCACACACACATCACACACCACACACACCACGCACACCACACACACCACACCACACACCACGCACACCACACACACACACACCACGCACACCACACACACCACACACACCACACACACCACACACACATCACACACACATCACACACACCACACACACCGCACACCACACACACCACACACACCACACACACCACACACACACCACGCACACCACACACACCACACACACCACACACACACCACACACACACATCACACACACCACACACACCACACACACCGCACACCACACACACCGCACACCACACACACTACACACACCACACACACACCACGCACACCACACACACCACACACACACCACACACACCACACACATCACACACTACACACACACCACACACAGACGATGTCATAGTTTCCTTGTCAGCGGATACTCGTGTCGAGATTGAATGCGACTCACGAGGGCGGGGTGGGGGCCAGGGGGAGAGGAGGGGGCCGAAGGGGAGGGGGGTGCGGGGGATGAGGGGAGGGGGTGTGGATGGAGGGGAAGCACTCATAGGGCGCTAAGTGACCAGGACACCTTGCATGACCGGGTGACTTCACGTGACCGAGTGACTTCAGGTGACCGGGTGACGTCACGCGTACGGGTGACGTCATGCGACCGGGTGACGTTATTTCGCACGACTAGGAAATTTCGCGTTTGCAAGTGCGACAAAATGTGTGGCCAATGTTTGGCCTCGCAGCTGTGGTTGGTTTGCCTTGGGGTGGGAACCTCGTCGCGCGCGAGCGCGGCCAGGCGTCCCCAACGCTGCAATGTCACACGCGGATCGCACGCGCTGCACGCGCCCGATGATTGCTAAAACACATGCGCCGTGAACGTAGGGGGCACCGCGATGGTGAGATGTTAACTACCTCGCCTGCTACGCAGGAGGTCATTGGTTCGATCCCGACCCTGACGCCTGCTGCTGCTGTATATTTGGAGTTTGCGTGTCTCTCTCTCTGTCTCTCCCCGTGGTTGCGTGGATTTTTCGCCGGGTCCTCCGGGTTTTCCCTCCACATTTAGAATGAACATCACCGCGAGTTTAGAGTCTTTGTCTGCCGCTATACATTTCCACGTGATGAGCCAACTTCGTTGAGCTATCATTCGTGAGAGCCAGGTCGCTTCCGAAAAAGAGATACATAGCTGAGTGGGCCTGACCTGGTAAGTTTAGTTTATGAAGAGCTGCAAAGACAAGGATGACCCCGTGTAGCATTGGACAGATTGTTGGGACAAGTGAAGTGACCGAGCGAGCGCCTATGAAGACCGGCACGGAGTTGTACGCACCGCGAACTCACCCGAGACGGAGACGACCGAGGGGATGCCCAGGACCGGTCCAGATAATCGTGCACTGGTGGAGTTCGGTGGCCGTGAGTGGGCATCGAACTCGGGATGCCAGCGCTGAAGCGCTGCACACAGCAAGGCCCTACCACTGCGGGGTAGATGGCCTGAATATAAACGCGCTCGTTAAAGAGCCACACACACGCGCGATCTCTATAGATGTAAAGGACAATATCAATTAGGCGGAAGATAACCGACTTGTTCGTGTGATTTCAAACAGCTGGGCGAGTCTAAGGGGCGGCGGGGGGTGGGGTAACTCTGTTAACCCCCCTCCCCCCCTCTCCCCCATCCATTAAAGCCACGCTTGCTAATTGGCTGCTCGGTGATTCTGCGTGCGCGCCTCTCTCTCTCCACCACTACCACCATCATCATCATCATCCCTCCCAGCCACATTCTGTCCATCCTCTTATCATCTCTGCCTTTCTCCACACCAACCCCACCATCACGTCTCCATCCTTGCCTCTCTCCATCTCTCTCCCTTCCTCTATCAACAATGTCCCCCTCCCTTTCCCATCTCCCGTACGTCAATTCGATCCTCCCACCTTCAATTTCCCTCCCTCCACCGTTGTCGTTGTCCCTACGACCGTAAACTCCTCCCCCTCTCCCACACCTCGACATCTCCCTCCACTCCCTCCCCTCCCGCCCCTCCCTCCCCTCCCTCCCCTCCCTCAATTCTCCCCCCCCGCTCCGCCCCCCCCCCTCGGCTCCCTTCCCTCCCCGTTCCCTTAATCCCTCCCACCTCCTGCGCCCTTCTAAAGACAAAGCGCCCCCCGTAGCCTTCACAGACTGTTGGGCCAAGTGCGATTAGCGAGTGGCACTTATGTAGGCCGGCACGGTACCACCGAGGGGGTGAGGGCCCAGCACAACGCCCGACCGCCTTTGTCTCCCCAGTGGCGATGTTTCACTACACACTGCACCAGGTACTCATTTGAGGCTGAGTCGACCTAAGGGAGGCCCAGAACCGGTTCAGATAATCGTCACTGCTGTCGGTGGTCGTGAAGGGCAACATAACTCGGGTCGCCGGGTCCGTTAGTGCAGCGCGCTCCCCTCCCTCCCTCCCACACGTCTCTCGCTCCCCTCCCTCCCTCTCACGTCTCTCGCTCCCTCTCACGTCTTTCGCTCCCCTTCCTTCCTCTCACGTCTCTCGTTCCCCTCCCTCCCACACGTCTCTCGCTCCCCTCCCACACGTCTCTCACTCCCCTCCCTCCCTCACGTCTCTCGCTCCCCTCCCTCCCTCCATCACGTCTCTCGCTCTCCTTCCTCACGTCTCTCGCTTCCCTTCCTCCCTCACGTCTCTCGCTCCCCTCCCTCCCTCCCACACGTCTCTCGCTCCCCTCCCTCACGTCTCTCGCTCCCCTCCCTCCCTTCATCACGTCTCTCGCTCCCCTTCCTCATGTCTCTCGCTTCCCTTCCTCCCTCACGTCTCTCGCTCCCCTCCCTCCCTCCCACACGTCTCTCGCTCCCCTCCCTCCCTCACGTCTCTCGCTCCCCTCCCTCCCTCCATCATGTCTCTCGCTCCCCTTCCTCACGTCTCTCGCTTCCCTTCCTCCCTCACGTCTCTCGCTCCCCTCCCTCCCACACGTCTCTCGCTCCCCTCCCTCCCTCACGTCTCTCGCTCCCCTCCCGTCTCTCGCTCCCCTCCCTCCATCACGTCTCTCGCTCCCCTTCCTCACGTCTCTCGCTCACCTCTCTCCCTCCCACACGTCTCTCGCTCCCATCCCTCCCTCTCACACGTCTCTCGCTGCCCCCCACCCCCTACCCCGGGCAGGTGTAAGGAGCTGCGCTACGCGGCCGACCTGCCACAGGTCTCCGTGGTGTTCATCTTCGTGAACGAGGCCGCCTCCGTTATCGAGCGCTCCGCGCACAGCGCCGCGCGCCGCACCCCCGCGCATCTCCTGCGGGAAATCATCCTCGTGGACGACGCCAGCGACGATCGTGAGTGACGGGGCTGGGATGGGAGAGACGGAGGGAGGCGCTTGGGGAATGGAGGGGTGGAAGGGAAGGAGCGAAATATTGTCGGGAGGAAGAGACGGAGAGAGGGCGTTGTAGGGATGGTCGCGGGTTGTCGCGGATGGATGATGCCCGCGAAGATCGCGAGCGATTTTGGGAATATGGTGGGGGAGGGGTCGGAGGGGGAATGTGAGAGATGGGGGGGGGCAGGGGGGTGTCTCGTCCCAGGGGAGGCTGCTGGGGGTGAGCGAGGTGTGCGCTGTAGGTGGGGGGGGGGGGGGGTTCACATCGCGACGTCTCTCGGGGGCTTGCTCCTGGATCGGCCAAACATCCCGGCACAGCGGGGGCCCCTCCTGAATACGTGAATTGATCATGCCCTGACCGACGGAGGTTATTGATAATTTGATGATCGATTGATTTTTTTAATCAACAATCAGTAATGCTTTAATTATGAATGATGGTTATTTATTGTGAAAAAAAAATCGACTCGTGATGAATATTTGGCCTAGTGGACGATGATTCATTTCCCAATCACCTTTTGAATGAGCAGGTCACTCCACGTGACCAGCTCGACATGCGTGACCAGGTCACCTCACCTGACCAGGTCACCTCACCTGACCTGGTCACCTGACCAGGTCACCTCACCTGACCTGGTCACCTCACCTGACCAGGTCACCTCACCTGACCTGGTCACCTCACCTGACCTGGTCACCTCACCTGACCTGGTCTCCTCGCAAGATCGGGTTGTCTTGCATGGCGATGTTGATGCTGATCATGACGATGTTGGTGCTGATCATGACGATGTTGATTATATCATGACGATGTTGGTGCTGATCATGGCGATGTTTTACTGGTCATGACGATGTTGATACTGATCATGGCGATGTTGATGCTGATCATGACGATGTTGGCGCTGATCATGGCGATGTTGGTAATGATCATGGCAATGTTATACTGATCATGGTGATGTTGATGCTGATCATGACGATGTTGGCGCTGATCATGACGATGTTGGTGCTGATCATGACGATGTTGATTATATCATGACGACGTTGGTGCTGATCATGACGGTGTTGATGCTGATCATAATAATGTTGGTGCTGATCACGACGATGTTGATGTTGATCATGGCGAGGCTGATGCTGATCATGACGACGTTGATGCCGATCATGACGAGGAGGCGCTGTGCCTCCCTTCTCCGCCCCGACCAGCCGACCTGAAGGCCCCTCTGGAGGGGCGGCTGAGGGGGTCGCTGGGCCCCCTCGTTCGCTTCGTGCGCAACTCCAAGAGGGAGGGCCTCATCCGCGCGCGCATTGCCGGGTGGCGCGAGGCAACGGCGCCCGTGGTGGCGTTTTTCGATGCGCACGTGGAGTTCGAGGAGGGGTGGTGAGACACGGGGGGGGGGGGGTGGAGACGCGGTGGCACCGCCAGGGACATGGTCGCAGGCAGCGGCCACTGTTGATGGTGGTTGATGTTGTTGGTGGTGGTGGTGATGATCATGATATCAGTAGGGATGACGAAGTCGGTAGTGACGATGATGATGACGATGATAATGATGAATTTGCTGATGATGTTGTTGATGATGACGATGATGTTGAAAACGATGTGATGTTGATGATGACGACGATGTTGATGATCACGATGAAGTTGTTGATAATGATGTTGATGATAATGTTGACGAAGATCATGATGATGACGACGTTGATGATGAAGTTGACGTTGATGATGTTGTTGATGCAGTCGAGGAAGTTGATGTTGATCACCACGATGAAGTTGTTGATGATGATGATGTTGTTGTTGATGATGACGATGATAACGATGAAGTTGATGTTGATGAAGACGACGATGTTGATGATCACGATGAAGTTGTCGATGATGTTGATGATGTTGATGATGATAATGTTGATGATGTGTTGATGATAATGATGATGATGTTGATGATGTTGATGAAGTTCACGATGACGACGATGACGTCGTGGTCTCGTCGTGGGCAGGGCCGAGCCGGCGCTGGCGCGGATCCGCGAGGACCGCTCCCGCGTGGTCCTCCCCGCCATCGACAACATCCGGCACGGCTCGTTTGAGGTGCAGCGTTACCACGACTCGGCCCACGGCTACAACTGGGAGCTCTGGTGCATGTACATCGCCCCGCCGCGCGCGTGGGTGCAGCGCGGGAACAAGACGGCGCCCATCAGGTGTGTCCCCCCACTCCTCGTCATCGTCACCACCATCGTCATCATCACCACCACCACTATAACCATCATCATCATCATCACTACCACCATTATCATCACCGCCACCATCGTCACCACCAGAAGCACCATCATCACCATCACCATCATCATCACCACCATCATCATCATAATCACCATCATCCTCATCACCATTATCATCATCATCACCACCATAACCACCATCATCACCGTCGCCATTATCACCACCACCATAATCATCATCAGCTACCACCGATGATTGGCACTCGGCACTAACGATGATGCCGATCACGTGGTCGGTAGCCTTAGCGATGATGCCGATTCTGCCGATGCGGCAGTTTGACGGCGATGATCGCGGCGACAGCGATGACAGCGATGAGAGCGATGATGCTCAATGACGATGCCAATGTTATCGTAGTTGTAGGGACGATGGCGTCATTGATGATGCCGCCGCCGCCGCTAGCGCCGAGTCAGCGTGCCCTTGCGTGTGAATCGAAGCGCGTGAGACACCGAGTGAGAGGAGCCCCTTGGGAGTCCGCACGTCTCCTCGCATCGCATCCACCTCCCAACGACGGTCACGTGACGTGCGCTGCTGCCCCCCCCCCCCCCCGCCTCCTCCCATGAGGGTCACGCACTAAATGAACCCCTTTGGGAGGGTGGGGGGGGGGGTCGCAGGGTGGAACTGAATTATTTAACCCCCTTTAGGGAGTGGAGGGATGAATGATTAAATCTATTGCTGGGTAGGGGTGGATGTATGATTGAATGACTCTAGGGGGTAGTGAGAATGAATGATTGAGTCTCTTGTAAAGCTCTCAGGGGGGTGCGGCGGTGTTGGGGTGGGATGGGGGGGGGGGGCGGGGTGAATGATTGTGAGCGATTGAATCACGTGAATCGTTCAGCTGAAATGTTCCCGCACTGAAACCCAGCAACACTCTTGCTGATGAGGACGGCTCAGAGAAGTCAAAACTCGGTCAGGGCTTTTGCTCCATTGGCAACACTCGTTCACTAAGGGAGGGGGAGGGGGGGGGGGGGTAGCACGCCATTGCCGTTTGTGGCATTGTGACGGAACAGACCCTGGGCTGTTTCACCACACACGGCCATCTCTACCCTCCGGCAAAGCACGAGCCCAAGTTTCCCGTGCGACCTTTCTGAAATGTAGTTTTTGTTTTGTTTCCTATAAACACAACATTCGGGGGCACAGCCTCCAAACGTCCAAGCGCCCAGCAGAGACGCGGCGATGTGAGAAGCTGCCGAGGACAAGATCCCACCTCGAGCCTCGTGAGGTCTCTCCGCCTCATCGCTAAGCTGCTGGCGATCCAATGGGGGGGGGGGGGGACTGCTGACGGATGCCGACATCTGCAAATCTTTAGACCAGAACACCTCCAAGGCAGGAAGCCGAATCGCGGAGTCGTCTGCCGTTAGATTCAACATTTGGATTCAGCGCCGATGCGGGGCCTCCAGATTACGAGGCCACGAACGCCCCCGCATTGCACAAACGGCAATCAAAATTAAAGAATAGGTTGTACCCTTTTTGGCCGTAATAAAACCGTTGTGTTAAGATGTTTTAAACACCAAACTGAAAGGAATCGCGTCTGCATTAACCACATATACTCGTGGTGAACATGCTCTCGTAGTGTTTGCATTGTCTTTGCCATTGTCAAAGACAATGGCAAAGACTACCAGGGCAACTGCTTATTCCTTGTAAAAGGTTTCATTTTGGTGTTTTAACATCTGAACGCAAATATCCCATTGCCAGAAAGGGTAAAACCTATTCTTATATTTTGATGCTGGCAAGGGAGGTCCCGTGATGAAACGGCAATATCCGGTGGAAAGAGTTGTGTCCCGAAATACACAAGCATATCGGAAGGCTCCCGGATCTAAATGTCAGACGTGTTCAAGCTTTGTCTCGCATCCCCAACGTTTGAGATCGCCCGCAGGAGCATTTACGCTCGCTTACTCGCTCGCTCGCTCGGAATCTTCCTTTTTTCTCCATGCCGGAGGAATCCGATGAGCTATGAAGATCTTTTTCAAAGGTGTCCACAAGGACATCCGTGACCGACCTCCAACATTCGTGAGCAAATCAAGTTAAACTGGAGTTCTCCCCGTTTGCGCCCACGTGTCCCCACGTTCTCGACCCCCCCCCCCCCCCTTGTCGCCCCGGCCAGGACGCCTGCGATGATCGGCTGCTCGTTTGTCGTCCACCGCGAGTACTTTGGAGAGATTGGGCTCTTCGACCCGGGCATGGACGTGTACGGCGGAGAGAACGTGGAGCTGGGATTCAGGGTGAGTGCCAGCGTTGGCACTCGGCTTGAGGCCCCTGGCCGCGTTGGGGGCCCTCCCCAAGTTCACTCTGTCCCTTCGCGTCGCGAATCACTGTCACGGTGCTCCCCACCGCACACAACGCCTCTGCTGCCCTCCCCCATCCAAGACGAGCCGGAGGACGCGCCGCGACCGCACGGGTACCACGTCGGTTGTGCTCAGTGGTGCGGCCATCGAGTGTGGTGGTGCAGGCGGTCCACCTAGGTCGACTCAGCCTCAAATGAGTACCCGGTGCGTTGTGCAAACATCGCCACTGGGGAGACAAAGGCGGCCGGGTTGTGGTGCTGGCCGCCCAACCCCTCGTGTTCCGTGCCGGCCTTCATAGGTTCTCGCTAACAACACTTGCCCCAACTACAAGCACTTTATTGAGCCCTTTAGATAATCCACTGCTGGATGAGGGCCTCCATTGCCGCGGCAGTAGCGAGATTTGAGTGAAATGGTAGACTGAGTGAGTGGGTAGGTGGGTGAGTGAGTGAGTGGGTAGGTGGGTGAGTGAGTGGGTAGGTGGGTGAGTGAGTGGGTAGGTGAGTGAGTGAGTGGGTAGGTGGGTGAGTGGGTAGATGGGTGAGTGGATAGGTGGGTGAGTGAGTTGGTAGGTGAGTGAGTGAGTGGGTAGGTGGGTAAGTGAGTGAGTAGGTGGGTGAGTGAGTGGGTAGGTGAGTGAGTGAGTGGGTAGGTGGGTGAGTGAGTGGGTAGATGGGTGAGTGAGCGGATAGGTGGGTGAGTGAGTTGGTAGGTGGGTGAGTGAGTGGGTAGGTGGGTAAGTGAGTGAGTAGGTGGGTGAGTGAGTGGGTAGGTGAGTGAGTGAGTGGGTTGGTAGGTGGGTGAGTGAGTAGGTGGGTGAGTTAGTGAGCGGGTAGGTGGGTGAGTGAGTGGGTAGATGAGTGATTGAGTGAGTAGGTGGGTAAATGAGTGTGTAGATGGGTGAGTGAGTGGATAGGTGGGTGAGTGAGTTGGTAGGTGGGTGAGTGAGTGGGTTGGTAGGTGGGTGGGTGAGTGAGTGGGTAGGTGGGTGAGTGAGTGAGTGAGTGGGTAGGTGGGTGAGTGAGTGGGTAGGTGGGTGAGTGAGTGGGTAGGTGAGTGAGTGAGTGGGTAGGTGGGTGAGTGAGTGGGTAGATGGGTAAGTGAGTGGGTGGGTAGGTGGGTGAGTGAGTTGGTAGGTGGGTAAGTGAGTGAGTGGGTAGGTGGGTAAGTGAGTGAGTAGGTGGGTGAGTGAGTGGGTAGGTGAGTGAGTGAGTGGGTAGGTGGGTGAGTGAGTGGATAGATGGGTGAGTGAGTGGATAGGTGAGTGAGTGAGTTGGTAGGTGGGTGAGTGAGTGAGTGGGTAGGTGGGTAAGTGAGTGAGTAGGTGGGTGAGTGAGTGGGTAGGTGAGTGAGTGAGTGAGTGGGTAGGTGGGTGAGTGAGTGGGTAGATGGGTGAGTGGATAGGTGGGTGAGTGAGTGGGTAGATGGGTAAGTGAGTGGGTGGGTAGGTGGGTGAGTGAGTGGGTAGGTGGGTGAGTGAGTGGGTAGGATGGTGAGTGAATGGGTAGGTGGGTGAGTCAGTGGGTAGGTGGGTGAGTGAGTGGGTAGATGGGTGAGTGAGTGTGTAGGTGAGTGAGTTGGTAGGTGGGTGAGTGAGTGGGTAGGTGGGTGAGTGAGTGGGTGAGTGGGGAGCTTTGTATTTGGTGTAGGCAGTGCAACTGCGCCAGAGCCCATGGGGCCGGAGAGGCACAGGCACCAGGCTAGGAAGTGGAGGGCCAGGGGGGTGATGACCGAGAAGGCGACACAGAGACCCACAGACTCGCATATCGAGACTCATAGACTTACATAGAAACGCACTCACGTAGTAGATACCTATAGACTCATGCAGAATCCCATATATTCACGTAGAGATCTGCTTAATTACATACCCATAGACTGGTATTAAGATTTACATAGAACCTGCAAACTAGCATATAACTCGTAGAATAACGTGCTGTACGATCTAGCGGTGTCGCTGTCGAGTGCGAAGGCGGTGCAACTGCACCGGGGCCCATGGGTCGGAGGAGCCCAGACACGGCTGTCCAGTATGTCTACTTATATATATAAAATAAAGATCCCCCATCTAGCCTTTAATAGACTGGTGGGACAAGTGCTGTTGGAGAGCACTGATGAAGGCCGGCACGGCACACGGTGGGTGGCCAGCACCACGCCCGGCCGCCTTTGTCTCCCCAGTGCTGATGTTTACTACACACCGCACCAGGCACCCATTTAAGGGAGTCGACCTAAGGGAGGCCCAGGACCGATTCAGATGAATCGTCACCGGTGTTGGCCGTGAGCTTCGGAATCGACTCGGGTCAAATTCCGGTCGCCGGGTTCGTGGCGCAGTGCGCTAACCGCTGCGCCACAGCTCCCCACATATGCGCAAACACAGACGTGCAGGGCTACACCTTTACAGGTTTCTGTACAAATCGCATGAGTGCTGCTGTGTCCACGGAAAGCCCCGCTTAGCCTCACGACCTTTCGGAAGGGCCCTGCAATATGCTGCACGTGGGAAGCAGCCGGAGAACCGGGAGAAAACTCATCACGAATAGCGGGGGAACGTTCGGGTTCCAGAACCCACTTGCTGTTCTGCCCGCCTCCCGGCCACGTCACGCTCCACAAATCTCTTGGCGATCCAAACCAAGCCCGTTCGCGCGATCCTCACGCTGTTAGATCGCGCACGCGCAGCAACAGCAAAAAGAATAACACGCGCAATTATAATAAATACTGCGCTCAGACAAATCGATTCTCAAATCGATGTTCGACTGGAGCGACGCTGGCCGGGAGCGCAGTGGTTAACGCCGGAGTGGAGCGGCGCGGCCCGGAGGAGGAGTCGCGGAGCTGTGCGGACGCGCGCTCAATTACAAGCGGGCTGACCGATTTACTGCGGAGGGAGAGACAGCACCCCCCTTCCCCCATAGCCCCCCTCCCCCCATAGCCCCCCTCCTTCCCCTTATAGCCCCCCATAGCCCCCCCTTCCCCCCATAGCCCCCCCTTCCCCCATAGCCCCCCCTTCCCCCCATAGCCCCCCTCCTTCCCCTTATAGCCCCCCCTTCCCCCCACAGCCCCCCCTCCCCGCATAGCCCCCCACACCTTAGCCCTCCCTTCCCCCCATAGCCTCCCCGTCACCCCCTCCCCTAGCCCTCCAGCCACCCATACTCCATCCTGCTCCAACCTCCTACCCCTGCGGCACCCCCATACCTCTCCTCCACCACCCCCCTACCTCTCCTCCACCACCCCCCTCCTCCCTCTCCCCAACCAGCCCCGGCCCCCGCCCCCTCCCGTCCACACGCACGCAGATTCTCTGGCCCAAACCAGAATTAATTATCTCCCAAATATTGATCGCACATTTGTTGGGATATTTTTTGTTGAATTTCTCAAAATCCTCCTCGTGCGGCGGAGGCGGAAATGAGCTCCCAGCGAGACCCCGAGACCACAGCCGCACACCCAGATTCTTCGTGCGTCGTCATCAGCGTCGTCATCAGCGTCGTCATCATCGTCGTCACTTTATCACAGAATACGAAAAACTCACACTCGTCGATTAGCACTGCCCACGCAAATATAAAACGGGCGGCGTTTCAGGCAATCACCCTTCTTCATGGCCATGTCGCTCTTACGAAGAAGGATCAGTGCGCGCGTACGCAACTACCACGTGACTTAAGGGGCCATTGCCCGAAACGTCGCCGATTATAACAACCACCGCCATTCGCCACTAAGTGGCGGTGACGTCACCACGGCGCTTGTGCCAGGCTAGGTGCGCCTTAAGGCCACACACACACACTCACAGTGTTACTACTGACGAACACGTTGAGAGTTTGTTGTTGTTGTTGTCTGTGCTTATGCACCACTGCCAGCGCAGCAGCAGCAGCAGCATCATCACCAACATCGCAAACCCGAGCGGTGCGAGGTTACCCTGTGGACCCTCGCCACACAAACGTTGACGTTCTCCCTGCGGGTGACGGCACAAATGCAGGCGGTCCAACAATCACCGCCCCCGACGAGACGTGGGGGGTGATGAGGCGAGGTGTCATCTACAGTCGCAGACAACGGGGCTCGGTTATTTTCCCGACAGCCTCTAGCACTGTTGGGGCAAGTGCTGTTAGCGAGTGGCACCTATGCAGACCGGAACCGCACACTTTAAGATGTTTCTTGTTCATGTTTTTTTTTGTTGCGGTTGCACCCGATTCAAGAGCCGAATGGTTCACAGGGCTATACCGAATAAATGAAACTGAAACTGAAAGATGGCCAGCACCATGCCCGGCCGCCTTTGTCTCCCTTGTGGCGACGTTTAACACCGGCGCACCGGGACCCGTTCAGATAATCGTTGCCAATTTAAGGCCGTGAGCGGGCATCGAACTCGGGGTCTGCCCGGGGTCGCAGCATAGTGCGCTAACCGCCGCGCCACCGCTCCACCCACACGCGCGCCCGTGCGCGGGGCGAAAGCGATAGCACCACCACCACGACCCCACCACGACCCCACCACGACCCCAGCACGACCCCAGCACGACCCCACCACGACCCCACCGAGCGGGACGAAGTCATGCCGCGTGCTGCCCGACAACGCCGCCGCCGCCACCACCACAGCGGTGGGATTTCGCGCTCGTCAAACGGGGTGGGAAAATGATTTCCCATCCCAATTACGGCCCTAATTGGGTCGAAAAAACGGCGACCTTGTAAAGCCAGCTTTCCTCATGACACCACTGATTTGCCCGAGTCTTTAACGAGAGTTAAACGCACTCACGAAATCGCAGAACTGCCCCGGTATTGACTCAAAAGCGAACAACATTTTACACTTGCACAGATTACCGTACCCGATAATAACGATGGCGTGGGGAGCGGCGGCGCAGCGGTCAAAGCAAACCGTAGCGTGGACGCTCCGCCACCCGAGTTCGATTCCTGGTTGCGATGCGTGGGACACGTGGAGGGCGAGCTGGATTGAGGGCGGCGGCTTTACCGAGACCGGGCATTGGAGCGGCGGCCTCAGAGGTGGCAGGGCAAGGGGAAGGCCTCTCAAGCCAGGACAAATGCAGAGCGCTTCAAAAAAAAATGTTTTAACACTTCTGATAATTTTCAACAACACCACGTGACACGTGCTGCTGCCTCTGGGCTCTGGGGACCACCTGGAGAAGACTCCAGGCCACGCGTTGACAACGATGGCGAACAAGTGGGGGACTCTTTGACTTTTCGAAGCTATCAACGTACATTTGTTATCATGTTACAGGGTATTATTATTATTATCCGTTATTTTTCCATTACACAAACGACAGTCCCATTTAAGTGTTCACATTTTTTTGAAGCACCCTGTATTTCCTTAGGGAACGCATTCGGCCCCACGGCCTTGTGGTCTCTGTGTCTGTCTCGGGGTCATTTCAGCAGCATTCGTGCAAACTTTGGAAACCGGTCCAGAGTTTCACGTGGCCAGAATCAACGCTGTTCAAATTATGCACCCCCACCCCCGCCCCCCCCCCCCCAAAAGGCCGCGGGGGCCCCGATGGGTTTGTGCAAGAGGAACTTTACTTAATTATACGGAGAAACAGACACGTGAAACGGACCGTCTGCTTTATCAATGTTGACAATTAATATTCCACCCAACGACGCCAAACGATTACTTTGTGTTGAAGCCAGAGGCGGGGCAGGGGGTGGTGGTTGCTGGTGATGATGAAGACTGAGAGCGCACCGTGGAAATCTTATTAACTCGAGACTGCAAGACGATGATGGCGCTGCGTGGTCCTCCCTCCCTCCCTCCACCTCCCCCCCTGGGCGTGCGTGACGCAGGTGTGGCAGTGCGGAGGCAGCATGGAGGTGCTGCCGTGCTCTCGTGTGGCGCACATCGAAAGACGAAGCAAGCCGTACGTGCGTGACCTCGAGTTCTACATGAAACGCAACGCGCTCAGAGCCGCCGAGGTGTGGATGGACGAGTTCAAGAGCCACGTCTACATGGCCTGGAACATCCCCATGAGCGTGAGTCGCGGGCCCTCCGCGTCCTCCCTTTGACTCCACCGGGGCAGGTGCTAACGGAGACCCGCAGGGGAGGTGCAACGTCAAATATCTCCGTTGGCTCTTCTGCACGTGGTCGACTGTAACTCAGCACTGGAGAGGCAGCAGCAGCAGCAGCAGCGTGGGTTGGCGGATCACAGCACAGATGTTGTCAAACACCCTTCCCCCGATCGAGGCGTGGGGCCTTCTCCGGGTGCTCCGGTTTCACCCCGCACTCATTATTAATGTGGCAGGATCCTCCTGCACAAGAGTCATACAAAAATATATTACGATAAATTATATCTCTTCGCAAGGGTGACCTGGGTTACATCGAGTAATTTTCAAGTCACGATCGTAACCTGCAGTCCAACCTTGCATGCTCCGCTTCACACTGGTTTGTGAGGGTGCACGAGAGAACGTCGGGGGCTGGAGATCGAGGCTAAGATGACGTCCACGTAGGAAAATCATTCCGTGCTTTTTTTAAGGAAAGGAGCCACAGCCGAGGGGGATAGAGGGTATCTGAGCATTGTTCAGGGTCTCTGTGTCTTCAGGCGTCTCTCCGTGTCTGCACGTGGTCTCTGTGTCTGTCACGGGGTCTGTGTCTCTCCGTGTCTGCACGTGGTCTCTGTGTCTGTCACGGGGTCTGTGTCTCTTCGTGTCTGCACGTGGTCTCTTTGTCTGTCACGGGGTCTGTGTCTCTCCGTGTCTGCACGTGGTCTCTGTGTCTGTCACGGGGTCAGTGTCTCTCCGTGTCTGCACGTGGTCTCTGTGTCTGTCTTGGGGTCAGCGTCTCTCCGTGTCTGCACGTGGTCTCTGTGTCTGTCACGGGGTCTGTGTCTCTCCGTGTCTGCACGTGGTCTCTGTGTCTGTCACGGGGTCATCGTCTCTTCGTGTCTGCACGTGGTCTCTGTGTCTGTCACGGGGTCTGTGTCTCTCCGTGTCTGCACGTGGTCTCTGTGTCTGTCACGGGGTCAGTGTCTCTCCGTGCCTGCACGTGGTCTCTGTGTCTGTCTCGGGGTCAGCGTCTCTCCGTGTCTGCACGTGGTCTCTGTGTCTGTCTCGGGGTCTGTGTCTCTCCGTCTCTGCACGTGGTCTCTGTGTCTGTCACGGGGTCTGTGTCTCTCCATGTCTGCACGTGGTCTCTGTGTCTGTCACGGGGTCAGCGTCTCTCCGTGTCTGCACGTGGTCTCTGTGTCTGTCACGTGGTCAGCGTCTCTCCGTGTCTGCACGTGGTCTCTGTGTCTGTCACGGGGTCAGCGTCTCTCCATGTCTGCACGTGGTCTCTGTGTCTGTCACGGGGTCAGCGTCTCTCCGTGTCTGCACGTGGTCTCTGTGTCTGTCACGTGGTCAGCGACTCTCCGTGTCTGCACGTGGTCTCTGTGTCTGTCTCGGGGTCAGTGTCTCTCTGTGTCTGCACGTGGTCTCTGTGTCGGTCACGGGGTCTGTGTCTCTCCGTGTCTGCACGTGGTCTCTGTGTCTGTCTCGGGGTCAGCGTCTCTCCGTGTCTGCACGTGGTCTCTGTGTCTGTCTCGGGGTCTGTGTCTCTCCGTGTCTGCACGTGGTCTCTGTGTCTGTCTCGGGGTCTGTGTCTCTCCGTGTCTGCACGTGGTCTCTGTGTCTGTCTCGGGGTCTGTGTCTCTCCGTGTCTGCACGTGGTCTCTGTGTCTGTCACGTGGTCAGCGTCTCTCCGTGTCTGCACGTGGTCTCTGTGTCTGTCTCGGGGTCAGAGTCTCTTCGTGTCTGCACGTGGTCTCTGTGTCTGTCACGGGGTCTGTGTCTCTCCATGTCTGCACGTGGTCTCTGTGTCTGTCTCGGGGTCAGTGTCTCTCTGTGTCTGCACGTGGTCTCTGTGTCTGTCACGAGGTCTGTGTCTCTCCGTGTCTGCACGTGGTCTCTGTGTCTGTCTCGGGGTCTGTGTCTCTCCGTGTCTGCACGTGGTCTCTGTGTCTGTCACGGGGTCTCTGTCTCTCCATGTCTGCACGTGGTCTCTGTGTCTGTCACGGGGTCTGTGTCTCTCCATGTCTGCACGTGGTCTCTGTGTCTGTCACGGGGTCAGCGTCTCTCCGTGTCTGCACGTGGTCTCTGTGTCTGTCACGTGGTCAGCGTCTCTCCGTGTCTGCACGTGGTCTCTGTGTCTGTCTCGGGGTCAGTGTCTCTCTGTGTCTGCACGTGGTCTCTGTGTCGGTCACGGGGTCTGTGTCTCTCCGTGTCTGCACGTGGTCTCTGTGTCTGTCTCGGGGTCAGCGTCTCTCCGTGTCTGCACGTGGTCTCTGTGTCTGTCTCGGGGTCTGTGTCTCTCCGTGTCTGCACGTGGTCTCTGTGTCTGTCTCGGGGTCTGTGTCTCTCCGTGTCTGCACGTGGTCTCTGTGTCTGTCTCGGGGTCTGTGTCTCTCCGTGTCTGCACGTGGTCTCTGTGTCTGTCACGTGGTCAGCGTCTCTCCGTGTCTGCACGTGGTCTCTGTGTCTGTCTCGGGGTCAGAGTCTCTTCGTGTCTGCACGTGGTCTCTGTGTCTGTCACGGGGTCTGTGTCTCTCCATGTCTGCACGTGGTCTCTGTGTCTGTCTCGGGGTCAGTGTCTCTCTGTGTCTGCACGTGGTCTCTGTGTCTGTCACGAGGTCTGTGTCTCTCCGTGTCTGCACGTGGTCTCTGTGTCTGTCTCGGGGTCTGTGTCTCTCCGTGTCTGCACGTGGTCTCTGTGTCTGTCACGGGGTCTCTGTCTCTCCATGTCTGCACGTGGTCTCTGTGTCTGTCTCGGGGTCTGTGTCTCTCCGTGTCTGCACGTGGTCTCTGTGTCTGTCACGGGGTCTGTGTCTCTCCATGTCTGCACGTGGTCTCTGTGTCTGTCTCGGGGTCTGTGTCTCTCCGTGTCTGCACGTGGTCTCTGTGTCTGTCACGGGGTCAGAGTCTCTTCGTGTCTGCACGTGGCCGCCGTTGAGGGATTTTTGTTGTGGCCGCAGTCGCTTTTGGTTGCGAGCGTCTTCTCGCAACGATGAGGAAAAAATAAACAAAAACAACAACAAACACTAACAGCAGCAGCGGCGAAGGCGGAGCGCGGGTGGGAGACGCGGCACCGCCGTGACGTCACTGAACTCCTCGTGCTGCACGGCCTGTCCCGCTGTGCGCATGCCCCCCAAATGCCCCCCACATGCCCCCCACATGCCCCCCAAATGCATCCCTCTCCTGCACCGCTCTCTCTTCTGGCTCACTCCGTGCCTCCATCTCTGGCTCTTTTCCTACCTTCCACCGTGCCACCCGCCCATCTCTTTCCCGGAATCTTGTCCTCTCCGACCTCCCTGCGACCCTCTCTGCCTCCCTCCCTCTCCTCCATCTATCAATTAGCCCACTCTCTACCCCCCTCCATTCCTCTCGATCTCCCCAGCCGCTCTCCCACCCCATCTCTCTCGAAACATCTTCGCCTCTCTCACCCTCTCTGAACCGTGTCCTCTCCACCCTGCGTCTTTCCATCCCACTCTCCCACCCTCCCGGCATCTCCCCCTGGCTCTCTCCAACCCTCTGTCCCCACTCTCCTCCCTTCTCACCAGCCTCCCCCCTCCCTGTGCCTCCCCCTCCTCCGCTACCCCCCCCTCCCACATCAGAACCCCGGCATCGACATCGGCGACATCACGGAGCGAGTGGCTCTGCGTGAGCGGCTCCAGTGCAAGAGTTTCGAGTGGTACCTGGACAACGTGTACCCCGAGATGCGGCGCTACAACAACACGCTCGCCTACGGCGAGGTGCGTGCCCACCGCCCACCCATACCTCGCCTTCGATGGTCTACATGTTATAATACAGGGGTGTGTGCTTAAAAAATAAATGTTGACACTTCTGAGAATTTGCCACAACACCACGAGAAATGTTGTGCTTCCAGGCTCTGGAGACCACCTGGATAAAATTTCGGGCCTGCGTTGACAATGACGGCGAACAAGTGGAGACTCTGACTTTTTGAAACAATGAACATACATTTGTTATCATGTTACAGTGTATTATCCGTTCTTTTGCCAGTAAAAACGATAGTCCCATGTAAGTGTCAACATTTTTTAGAAGCACCCTGTATTTAAAAACAAACAAATCTACCTTGCTTTTTTGGGTAAAACAATTTAAGTTTGGTAATTTTTTCCCCCCAACAAGAGTTATCCCAATTGCGCTATCGGCCTCGTCGTCGTCGCCAGTCGCGGCTCAAATACAAGTCGAGCCGTTTTACTCGCCGCACGCGCCAGATGCTCGCCAAACACGTCCCACGTGACGCAGAGAGCGCCGAATCAAATTGAGATGCAAAATAACGAAGACGACGTCGCGCCTATTACCTTCCCGCACTTATCTCTCCACGTAAAACAAAACACAAATTACACATCTCATCGGTCACACGGCCTTCTGGGAGTGATTTGTCTTTCAACAGCATTGCTTTAATAAAAGCAAACACCGGACCGGTTGCAACATTCAGTGTCTCATCAGCAGGGTAATGATTATTTCGCGGTCAAAAATGGAGATAGAGGTCTTCGTGTGTGTGTGTGTGTGCGCGGGTCCCAAGTGATGTAGAGGGCCGTTTAAAAGTAATTGGATTGCAGTGGGAGTGTCACACAAGCGCTGCCGTGGAAACTGCTCAAAGTCAATTTAAACTCTTTTCTGATTAACTTACCTTCTCAAACCTGTGGGGGCACGGCAGCCCGGGACACGCAGCTGAGGCGTGCGTGTGCCTTAAGAGGAGAGCCGCTCGATTTCTGGATTGGGAGTGGCATATGAGCATCATGGCCGAACGTCAAGGACGAGGAAGGGAGTGGCGGTCAAGGAATGGGCCGCGTCCGAGAGGACGCCCATCGCGGAGATGGAGCGAGAAAAATAATTGAGACTTGTAACGCGCCGCACAGGATTCGCTCGCTCTCGGAGCGGGAAAGGCAGCAACCACTCAGAGTGCCGGCATCAACTCCCCTCCCCTTCCAAGCTCTGAAGTTGTCTATATATGAAGGTGCTTTCAGCCAATTAACAAGTATTTTTACCAGTGGGAGGAAACCGGAGCACTCGGAGAAAAATCTGCATGTGCGAGGGACCAACGCTGTATCCCATACAGAAGGAAACAGATGGAGATTAGTACGCGCTTTGCCACACAGTCTTCTCTCGGCAGGCCAGGATACGCACAGGAAGGTTGTTGGATCACACGATGTTTGTGTGATCCAACCATCCTCATTTAACAAATAACTTAATGTGCAGTGGCTAAGGTCGATTGTTACGTTGTAGGATTGGGGGAGATGGCGGCAGCTTGGATGAGGCATTTCATACCAGCAGTGGATTCGTTTTGAAACTCTTCACTGCCGCGATCGTTCAAAACTACCACGTCAATGACCGCGTACCGTGCGTCCATCATCGTTGAGAGGACGCTTCGCTCCGACGCGCGACAACCCCCGACATGGGGCCGGCTCGATATCCCACACAGCACCAGGCACGATCAAAACACGGGAGATCAGACGGAGCCATTTCCTCGCCAGATACCAGCAGGGAATTCATTCCATTTCATTGCCAAAGTAAAATCACAACTTCATTGATTGATTAATCGAACCTCGACTGAGGTATAAACAAAAAAACTTGGCAGGATCCCTCCCGAAAGTAAAAGTCTTGAGACTCAGGTTTTCCTGGTTAACGCGACTCAACCTTAAACGGCTCAAAACATGAATATATAGAGGACTGCAGAGCTTGGGGCTGAGGGGGGGGTTGGAGCCCCCTTATCATTGTCTGGCTGCTGCTGCTGCCTTTCTTGCTCGTCTGTGGTTCTTCCTGGCACCTCCGAGTCGTCCGCGGATTCCTATGCGGTGGCGCCCCGCTACAAGTCGACAATGTAATTCTCAAACGAGCATAAATAGAATTAGTGCAATCACGTCGTGGCTTGTTAAACTTTGTACGTATGTATGTAGAACTTCTCTCGCACCGTACGTAGCTTACCGTACTTTGGTATAGTATGTCAAACAATTTCGGTCTGGAATTCAGACTTTTTTTTGGTTTTAAAAAGGGGTTGCCGTCCCGTGTGCAGATGAGGAACAGCAAAGCGAACAACTTCTGCCTGGACCAGGGACCCCCGGAAAACAACACGGCCATCGTGTACCCGTGCCACGGGTGGACGCCGCAGGTGGGGCAGCCACGGCAGGCGACGAGTCGCCACGCTAGGCCTCGCCGTGACACCGCACCACGACACGCCTCGCCACGCCTCACAGATGCCACGCAATGGCACACCTGGGCAAGCCACACCGTGGCGCACGCCACGCCACACCAACACGACACACCGCAACCGCGCCAGGGCACACCGCACCACGACATCACCGCACAGCGCCTCAATCCCCGCCGCCCGGCGTCAAGCAGGACGCCGGCAAGGTGGTGGCGGTGTGAGTGGTTGGCAGCACAGCTGGCGGTTGAAAAATATATGGGGGGGGGGGGGGTGAATCGGGGGCACAAAAATTATTTTAAACGCCGCTGCTTCGAGCAGAATTTCTCAACTCCACTCCATGCGACACCCTCCATGACGGTCCAACATTTCATGACTCCCAATCTCATCTCACTCTCCTAACTCTCCCCTCTCGTCTCACTCGACCCACCTCCAACAGCCAAGGCAAATTTGTCGAGGCCCCCAGTCAACCTCCTCTCAGTGGGCGTCTCTCAACCTCCTCTGCCGCCCCCACGGTCGTGAACTCCCTTCCCCCAGCCACCTGTGCTGTCGACTCCCTGTCCAATGGTCCAACCCAGGCTCCGGGGTTTCCTCTTCTCCTCTACCGAATGACCCACTGCCTCTCTCTCTCTCTCTATAATCGCAAGCGCAGTTTCTGTACGGCACCTTGAGCTGCGGCCACATCCACGTTCTATCGTCGTATTACTCTTCTAAGGATGCATTAGGCAGCGCGTGAGACAGGCACGCTTTGCCAAATAGGGACTCGTCAGCGAGCCGCGACCACACCGCCAGTCGATAACGACGGACAGGCGCAGTCCGGGCGTGTGTACCGCAGCACGCAATGCACTCGGTGGTACTCAATGTGTGCCGAGCGTAATGCGCCCACAATTGGGCCAATTTGCATATCTAAATTGGGCGCACATTTGAGAAATGGGTCAGGTGATGTTGCCTCTTAAGGCCGCATTCAATTAATGGGAAACTCTACGCCAAAGTAATTTTTAATAGGGGCAATTATCCATAACTGGCGTGCGCGAATTAGTCTGGCGGCCCAAGTTGCGGGACAGGAACCGAGGCGGGCGCTCCGCCGCGTCGCGCGCGAATTGCCGACCGCGTTGATGTCCCAGCCATGCGAGCAGCGACATTGGCGAGAAACTCACGCACGCATGATAATAATAATAATAACAATAATGTACAGCCCATTGCCATTCCATTTCTGTATGTATGTACGTTTAATTTATTTTGCTACCGTACGTAGCCAACCGTGCCTCCCCATACAAAGGCAAAGATCCACCATGTAGCCTTCACAGACGCTCGGGGCAAGTGGTGTTAGCGAGCACCTATGAAGGCCGGCACAGCACGCAAGGGGGTGGGTGGCCAGCACCACGCCCGCCCGCCTTTATCTCCCCAGTGCCGATGTTTTCAAATCACACCAGGTACTAATTTGAGGCCGAGTCGACCTAGGGGAGGCCCAGGACCGGTTCAGATAAACGTCACTGGTGTTGGCCGTGAGCGGGAATCGAACTCGGGTCGCCAGGCTCGTAGCGCATCGCGCTAACCACTGCACTACCGCTCCCCATGCACATACACACACGTACGTACACACACGTCCAATGCTTTTGTCAATGCACTGCTGGATTCGGACCTTCTCCACACCGTGTGGGTCGTGGGGGTCATTTGATCGCAATATTTGGTCAGCGCGAGCTGCAGAAGCCGGGGAAGCAGAGACGTGCGAGCAGAGCGTGATCGGAGCGAAGCCGCTCGCAGCCTGGCCGGGAGAGAGTGATGTGCGTGCGTGCAGCGTTGAACGAGCGCGTGTGAGACGGCAAGAGCAAGGACGGTGAGAGTGTCGGCAACGTGCGTTGCGACATAAGTTCAACATACGTGAATACGAGAGAGCGCGGTGCTTGCAGAGTGTGAAAGAGAGCGAGTGTGTGCGAGTGACAGAGTGATGCATAAAGAGTGGTCTGTGTGAGAGAGAACACGAGCATGCGAGCCATCGTGGGGAGTGGTAGCGTTTAACGCGCTGCGCTATGAACCCAGCGTCCCGAGTTCGATTCCCGCTCACGACCAACACCAGTGCCGAATGTCTGAACCAGTCTTTGGCCTCCCCTAGGTCGACTCGGCCTCAAATGAGTACCTGGTGCGATGTCTTCCGCTAGGGAGACAAAGGCGGTCGGGCGTGGTGCTGGCCACCCCACCCCATCGTGTTTCATCCCAGCCTTCATAGGTGCTCGCTATAAGCGGTTGCCGCAACAGTCTATGATGCCTATACGGTGGATCTTTGTCTTTGAGCCATTGTAAGAGAGTGGTGCACGTGGCATGTGAGACGGCAAGAGTGTGAGAGTGTGAGTGAGCGAGCGAGACCCATCTGGCTCTGGAGCGTTGAGCGCTCCGACGTTACTCCTTGGTTCTTTCGGTAAAGTCACGTGGGTAAAGAAAATAAATAAATGTATTAAATCACGACGTTTCGGACACAACACAAGTGTCCGTCATCAGGTGGGACAACCACAGCAAAAAAACAGCAACTGATGACGGACGCTTTACCGAAAGAACCAAAGAGTATGGATCCTTGCAGTCACGAAAACTTCAAATGTAGAACGCTCCGACGTTGCCACCCGCTCTTGACGTCACCGTCGTCGCCTCCGTGATTAAGGCAATTGCCACTCGTGAAGCACACAAATTGACTTTAGGCAATTAGAGCGATGATACATGAACAGAACCTAGAACGCGCGTCCCGACAATCGCGTCCCATTACCCCCGCTAATGGGGCCTGCGCAACAACGGAGCGCCGATTTCATTAGGAACCAGAAATATCGCCTCCTCCTCCTACTCTCCCTTCCTCCTCCTCCTTCCAAGTACTCCCAGCGATCCCAAGTCTCAACACATTCTCACAATTGTCAAGGCAAATTGCGGGGAGAGAAAAAATAGCAAAGCTCGCAAATGTGCGTTCTCATATGCCTACTGGCGTAGCTGTCGGGCGTGCCATCATTGGACCTCCGATGAGCACGGCTGGCTACGTACAGCGCGAAAGAAGTTCAACGTACGTACGTGCAGGCATTGCAACTGCACCGGTGGCCGCGGGCCGGAATGGCCCAGATGCTGAGGGTGGAGGTCATTTAATTCCTTAAATTACGGTCCATGCCAACGACGGACGTCACTGACAACCGTCATCACCCCCACCGCTACCGCAACGTTGCAAGAGCCTCTGTCGTCCCCGCCTCCCCCCTGGGGGCTGACGAGCGCCCGGGCGACGGCGCTCGTCGCCGAGAGGACGCGGGCGCCGTGCTCCCTGGCTCTGAGCCAGGCTCCGCGCTCCGCTGAGCCTGCAGCCCGCTCCTTCTGATGGAGCAGAGACGGGGACGACGCGATGTGGCGTTAGGGATTTGGGGTCGGGCGTACTCCGAAATAGTATTAGGATTCCCTAAACAGGGTTTGAGGAAGGGCATTGTCAATATCACCACCACCACCACCAACCACCGCCACCACCAACCACCGCCACTGTCACCAACCATCACCATCACCCAGCACTACACCAGGGTCGGATTGGAATCTTGGCTGACGAGCGACCGCGACAAACGGCGCAGACCGTTCAAACCCAGAGGCACAGGGGCCAACAGCATCGAGGCCTTTGGTCATATAAAACACTCAACACCCAGGATTTAAGGAATAATAATGTAAATTTCACACCGTAGGTTTTCGGGACCAATATCATTCGTATTGATGGGTTTTTAGGTTAGACGGCGTATATGTGAACGTGTCGCTAAACCCACCACCACCCGACACGGCCAATAAGTAAGGTTTGTCACGCAGACCAAAAAAATTGCACCTGGTAGGCCCACAGTGGTGACGTTACCTTACTCTGTCTAAGACCGGAAACAGGAAGACTTCTTCACAATTATGGCACAATCGCCTGATGAAGCTGGTTGTAATTACCAGCGCAAACGTCGCAGTCTAATTGTACATGTTGTGCGTTTATTCTTCGACACACCGGTGTGCTGAAGTAATAACTAATTTCACGTTTTGTTTACGTTACAGCCCTTATTAATTGCCCGCGTTGGATGAGTTAATTACACATTTATATTTACGCGATCTAACCCGAAAAAAATCTTTATTTTAAATAACGTCACCAAAATATGAACCATGGACTTTGATAAAGTAAATGGAATAAAAGATCACGAGCGGGCAGCCAAGCGTGGAGGGGTGGAACGCTCGGAATTTCAGCGAGAGGCATTGGGGAGAGACCTGCGGGCCAGAGAACGGCGACGTCACAGGTTAGAGACGACGTCCCGTGACCGGTACGCACATTCGGCGGGCTTTGGGCAGGGCACGCCGCTCGGAGGAACGATGGGCGAAGCTAAGGAAGGAGCGCCACGGAGGCGAGATGTTAACTGCCTCGCCTGGTATGCAGGAGGTCGTGGGTTCGATCCCGACCCTGACTCCTGGCTCCTCCGATTTTTCCCTCCACATTTAGAATCAATGTGCGTTTAGAATATTTGGCTGCTACAAATGTCCACGTGATAAGCCACTTCGTTGAGCTATCATTTGGGGCCTTACCTGGCAAAATAAAAAAAATAGTTTACGGTTGAGTTTTAAGGACACAATCCCGAGAGGATGCGCCACCACACAGCATCACATCAGATCGCGGGCACGCGGTTTGTTGCAGAGATGGCGACGGCTCGACAAGGCATTCATCCAGCAGCAGATAGATCGTGACCCATGGTACATTTTAACAATAACAGCAACAAACAACCGTTGCGGCACGCAATGTTCGGGTCGCGTAGGCAGAGTCTCGGGGGTCTCGGTGGGGTTTGTCTCTTTGTGCCGATTAATCCGCGAATGCACCGCCGAGTGAGAGTGGCTCAGCCGGATTTTTCTCTCCGTGGCACAAAACGGCGTCTCGACCTCAGCAGATTAAGAAGTGCGCGGTGGCGAGGAGGAGATGGGACGAGGGTGGGCGAGAGGAGGGGGGGGGTGGGTGGCGGAGGGGGAAAGCACTGGAGCCGAGTGTGGAGTTGGGTCTCACCATCGCCACCGTTAATGTGAACATCACCACCAAATGAAACCAACCTTCCATCATCATTACTGCAAACATCATCATGCACCATTCACCCACCACCACCCCCACCACAGTAAACATCACAACCAACTCGCCCATACCAACCGCACACCGTTTAAACGCTTTTACCGCATCGCGACTTTCAACGCTAAATCATGTCGCTTCACCAACAGTGGCGGGGAAGGAAAATGGGCGCAATTTATGCTTTGACAATGAATTAAATAACCGGCAGCGTGCCACGGGACTTAGACGGAGACCCGAGACAACACTTAGACTTGGTTAGCTACAGACTTACACAGCGGCGTCGCTATCACGTGTCTGCAGGGGGTGCAACTGCACCAAGGCTGGACACGTGCGTGTGTTGAACTCCTTTCGCACCGTGCTAATTGGAGGTGTGGCCGAAGTGGCCCAGACCCCCGGGGCTCTGAATAAATGGGGGAGGGGGCAATTGGAAAGGGGGCCACTTTTTATTCCCTGCACGGGGGACCCCACGCCAACCGCGTCGCGCCACTGCCGCCCCGTTCCGCCTCGAACGCGCTGCCTTCGACCTGTGCCCGCAGCTGGTGCGCTTCACGGCGGATGGGCGGCTCCAGGTGGGGGCGACGGGCTCCACCACGCAGGTGCCAGACACGCGCTGCCTGCAGGATGACGGGTCCACGCGCCGCCCACGCCTGCTGCCCTGCCGGGGGCCCGGGCCCGACACGCGCGACAACTGGGAGTTCACGCAGGTGCGTGTGTGTGTGTGCGTGTGTGTGTGTGTGCGCGCGTGCACGCGTCTTTGTATGTGGGGAGCGGTGGCGTGGTGGTCAGCGCGCTGCGCTTCGAACCCAACGACCCGAATTCGATTCCCGTTCATGGCCAACACCAGCGATGATTTTTTTAAACAATCCTGGGCATCTCCTAGGTCGACTCAGCCTCAAATCTACTGGACATCTGTGAAAAAGACTTTTATAGCTCATCGGATTCCTCCAGTATAAATATTCTGATTCTGAAATTAGTACACGGTGAAGTGTGTAAACATTAGCACTGGGGAGACAAAGGCGGTCGGGCGTGGTTTTGGCCACCCACCCCCTTGCGTGCCATGCCGACATTCACACATCCACTCCAACACCCACGTGACAAACTACACAACTACCCGGAGCCTGGCTCGTTTTGAGATCACGTCCTTCCAGGTGGCATCATTTCTGACATTGAAAACACTGCAACAACATCTGCCCCAACAGAACGGACCCGTGGTAAACCGCAAGACCCGGCGCTGTCTCGAGGTGGAGTCCACGCCCAGCGGCCTGGAGCTCATCATGCACGTGTGCTCGGGCCAACAGTGGAACATCCGCAACCTTCTGTGAGTGCGGATCACGGGACTGGGGACTCCTGTGAGCGAGCGTCGTGAGATTCAATCACCCGGAGAGCGAGCACCGGACGGTGAAACGGCTTCCTTGTGGTTGAGAGGGTTGTGGAAACGTTCAAAGCGGTGGGCAGTGCATGGCAGATTATCAGCATTCTGCAAGACAGAGAGAGAGAGCGAGCTTTAGAAAGTCAAGAGGAGACAGTGAGAATTTCTGAACCGCAACCAACCACCTGAGAGAGAGGAGAGTCACGGGAACGGTCACTGTGGTGGACTGAGCGAGGGAGAGCGCTCCGTTCCCCCTCCGCTGGGAGAGAGCGAGCAAGCCGCGGTGAGCTGACGGTGAGAGTGGAATTCCGAGAATTGACCCTCTGAGAGAGTGCGAGGGGACGGCTCACGGAAGAGGAGCGACACCCGACGCTGTGCTCCCCCCCCCACACCCCGAAGAATCCTCGCTCGCAAAAGTCCGCCCCAACTTTTGCGCGCACAGTATATCTTTTTTGCCAAATGTAACTTTGGAAACGCCTTAAAAGTCGACTCAGAAAAAGCAAGTGCATGAACGACAATACTTTTACAGGTAGGTGTTTAAATTAAATGTACGTGTACGTCCGTCTTCGGCGTTTGACTTATAGCGGCCATCTCGGTGTTTTTAATTTCTGACGGCGGCTCCTCGTGTCCGACGTCGATCCAGCTGCACGGCGCTGCCAATTTAACCCAGCCGAGGACGAGGCTCGTGATTTTGTTTTGTAGGGGACAGCGTGGGGGGGGGGGGGGAGTTAAGGTTACGTGTCTCATCACGGCTCTTTTCGTGGTCACTTTCGGGAAAGATAATCCGTCCCGTAGGAATGGGCAGCGCATTTTGCCACAAGTACCCGACCCCCCCACTGCAACTCCTGCCCCCCACCCCAATTTACCGCCGCCACCACATTCACATCACCACCTCTGAATGATCAACATCAGAACAACAACAGCAACAATTCCACCCACCACAACAGTTAAGATTTAATTCACATCGCACCCCTCACGATGAACACCTCAAAGCGCTTCACGACCTCCCCGAGTGCTGCGTAATATGTGCAAGGAAGGAATAAAAGAAGGTTCATGATGAAATTAAAAATTGCCAAGGCCAGTTTACGAGATACATTTTTTTAAACATTAGTGGGACTCTCAAGAGTCGCTTGCCGATGGAGCGAGTTTCACAGACGGAGCCGTGAGAGCAGGGAGCTCAAGCTGCACGACACGAAAACGGACGAGAGTTAACGTCACCACATTTAAATAATATATTTTAAACAATTATATTCATCACCACGAGGGTCTGAAAAGGGCTGGCAGATACACTGATATGATGCGTGCAAAGTACCATATGCAGCAGCATTGTGTGGTATGCAATGCATGACCCTCTTGTCACGTTGGTGTATGGGTGTTAATACAAGGGTGTGTTTCACCATATACAAATTAAAATAACACACAAGTCCACCGCACTAATTGGCCTTCCAGACAAACATTTCCCAGCAGCGGTTGACAAATATTTTCCAGCAGCAGGCAAATTCTGGACTGGCTTCGACTTCCCGATCCTCATCAGCAGAGCGCGGCCTATTTTAAACAATACGCCGCGGTTATCGGCAAAAAGCTCCTCGCTGAACCCCACGGGGGTGTGTTCAGCGCGGTTACAATTCCACGTCCTTGACATTGCTAATGAACTCTGGGAACTGCGGCCCCCTAAGGGGGGCTGCAGCTCCTCGCGCCTGACCCCAGGGGGGGTCTCGTGCTCATCAACTCCGGAATCCCGACCTTGGGTCGTTAAGAGGCCTCCTGATGGATCATCAGCCCGGCTCCCTCGCATAGCTCCCACACACACAGACAGACAGAGACGGAGCCAACCCCAGCCAGAGCTAACAGACATTCGATAACCACCGTGACACACAACATCGCCACTCGCTCGCTCGCTGGCCCAGACGCACTTTGCTCACAGGCTGCAACGTGGCGGATGATGATGCCCCCCCCTCCGCTTCACCGTAAGCGCAGCAGCAGCAGCGTCCTTCGCCATAAGTGTCGCTTCCTCACCTATTCGTCTAATTTCATCCCTGCAAGTACAATATAATAATCTGAACTGTGTCGTTTCTTTACCGATTACGCTACAGTATAATTTCTTCACTGAGCATAGTCTGATTGTTTCACGACAGTATCGTATCATCTCTTCAGTTTAAGTACCGTCTTACCTTGTAAGTTCAGCATCATCTAATCACCAAGTAGGGATTTCTTAACAAAGTACAGTACCATAACACTAATTAACAGCGGAATGTCTTCATGGCAAGTGCTGTGTAATGTCTTCACTAATTACAGTGTCTCTTATTCACATGTACGATATCGTTACACTGCAAGTAGTACAGTATGATGTCTTCACCATGCTCGTGTCACGACACACATACACGACTACATCATCATCATCATGGTGTTGTTAGAGGCTTTGCTTTCAGTGCCACAGCAGCAAATTGTGTTGAGAGCGATGGAGATGGGACGGGAAGTGCTCTGTTTTATTCATTTCCAGAGGTTATCTCTCTCCTTGAAACAGAATCCTCGACGGGAATTACACACGCACAAACAACACCCCCCCCCCCCCCCCCATAGCCTTCAGCAGACACATTTGTGAGGTCAAGTGCTGTGAGCGGGCAGCACCTAGGAAGGCCGGCACAGCACACGAGAAGAGAGAGGGGGTGGGTGGGTGGCCAGCACCACCGTCCGGACAGCTCTGTCACACCAGTGCTGGCGTTTACACACCGCACCAGTTACTCATTGTAAGGCTGAGTAGACCTAGGGGAGGCGCAGGACTCGGTGTCAGATAATTGCGACTGTTATTGATCGTGAGCGAGAATTGAACTCGGCGGGTTCGTAGCGCCGTGCGCCAAACCACTGCGCCACCACTCCCCACTTACAAACACACGGACAGACGACGAGCATTGAGACCGAGAAACAGATAAGCCATAGAGCCATGATTATTAAATAAATGTAGTGTAACCAATTAAGGTCGAAATATTTATGAGGTTGTTTTGGGTTAGATCGCGTAAATATGTGTGTGCCGTTAAACCCGCCACCACCCGACACAGCCAATGAGTAAAGGTTATCACGTAAACAAAATATGGCCAATTCGTTACGAGTCCAGCACACCGGTGTGTTGGAGAGTAAACCCACAGCATTTACAGTTCGTGCACGACATGTCGCCAAATATCCATATGCAAAGCTCATGTACAAACCACGAGGATGCATTAACCCCAAATATCATTCATATATTCCATGGCCTATTATGATATCGCGTCACTGATTCACGCAGTTGGTCATGGGGCACTGTTTGACCATAATTCACCACTTTGGTCAATGCGAGTTCGGGAAAGGGGGAGGGGGGGAGGCAGCCAGGGCAGGTTTGGATACAGCTCGCCACTTAACCATAGACCACCAACATCCCCCGTGGTGTAGCAACGACGTTACCAGTTCAGGGGGTGTGGCAATCGGTCAGTTGGGGCCCCCCATTATTTGATATGTCTTGCACGGTCGCACCGAGGGTGTCGTCATTATTATTTATCGCGCCTCCTCTTTCCTAGTACCTTCCCCCAATTCGCCCCGGAAGAAATGCTCTGCTCCTCTTCACTGGATACGCTATAACAACAACATAGATACGCTATAACAACAACATAGATCCGCTATGACAACAACAACATAGAGACAAGCGTTCGGTGCGCACTTTGCGGCAGCCAAACGTTACTCCCCTAAAATTGAATTAAAACGTGGAACGCAGATGAAAGCATTTTCATAAAAAGTTTATTTGAACCGCGTTTTAAATAAGTTCCTTGTTCTTTGACACTTGTTGAAAATAGGTTTCGGGGGCCCCAACTCGTGGCTTTGGCCACCAGGTGTGGTGAGGGGGGGCAAGGCACCCCCACGCTCGTTACACTGCTGCCAACCCCATATGCTCACCATCGTCAGACGTGCTCTATCCACTGCTAGCTGAAGGCCTCCCTCCTCAAAGCCGTCGCCATCTCCCACGGCCAATGCGCTGTAAACACTGTAAACAATCCATATAGCGAACGCGCACACGAGCCGATTTCATCGCTCCATCTCTGCAGGAGATGTCCCCCGCACGGATGCGTTCTCTCCATTGGCTGGCACGCAGTGGTTCAGAATCCGAATATTTATTCATACTGGAGGAATCCTATGAGCTATAAAGCGCTTTTGCCCAGTTACAATTGCCCACCGGCCATCCTCCATCCTGACCGCGACACGTACCACTCAAGCACACTTTTCTTCACGGTAGAAATGTATATCTCTAACCCGCGTATATTCTCTAATCCACGTGTTCGTCTTCCTGCGTCAGTGCAATTCCGAGCATGAAACTCTCCCCATGTTTTACCATCCTCATGATCTACCCACTGCTGGATGAAGATGAATACGAGGTCTCTATCCTAAGCATAATTCTCCATCTGTCTGGTGGTGTAATCCTGGACTTGGTAAACACAACTCCACCTTAACCACCCCTCCCCCCCCACCACGAACCTTGGGGGTCACGCGGGCACCCCCAAACCCAAGCCAATAAAAAATGCACCCCAAGACCGACATCCCCACCCGGTGCAGATGCACTGCATCCTCACACTGCGGTTAGCATTGCGGTACGCGAGATGTAATGATTACAGATGAATAATATATACACCTAATGTATTATACATGAATGACGTGTTCGATCATTTAAAATTAGGTTGGTTGTGGAGGGGGGGGGGGGGTGAATGCGTGTGTATGTATGTTGGCGTGTGTGTATGTATGTTAGGGGGTGGAACCATGCATCAATTGCCATGTCCTACCGGATTGTAAGACGCTCCGGAAAGTAAGACGCACCCCAAAACTCGTGTCCGATGTCCATTTGAAGTTACAGTAAACAAATCTCACACACACATGCACTACCGACTTATAAGACGCACTCGCAACTTAAGCTTTAAAATGCAGGGGGGGATGGTGCTTCTTGCATTCTGAATATTACCGTAAGTTTTTAATCTTCAACTTAATCGAATCGCGTGCATTGTCTTAATGAGGCGCTACAATACACTATACAGAGACTCCTCTACTTACGAACACCCGACTTACGAACTTTCAAGAGATACAAACAAACCTGGTCCGTATGTCCAGTTACCTGCTCAGATCGAGAGTTTTAAGTTCAACCACCGCACAATAGATGGCGGTGGTGGCACCTACATCTGTAGAACATGAAGAACCAGTGGCCTCTACAGAACATGGAGAACCAGTGGCATCTACATCCGCAGAACGTGAAGAACCAGTGGCATCTACATCTGCAGAACGTGAAGAACCAGTGGCCTCTACAGAACATGAAGAACCAGTGGCATCTACATCCGCAGAACGTGAAGAACCAGTGGCATCTACATCTGCAGAACGTGAAGAACCAGTGGCCTCTACAGAACATGAAGAACCAGTGGCATCTACATCCGCAGAACGTGAAGAACCAGTGGCATCTACATCTGCAGAACGTGAAGAACCAGTGGCCTCTACAGAACATGAAGAACCAGTGGCATCTACATCTACAGAACGTGAAGAACCACTGGCATCTAGATCTGCAGAACGTGAAGAACCGGTGGCATCTACAGGAGATTATACAAATTTTAAAGCCATTCCCCGTGTTTAGTGTACATGCCGTACAACATGTTTGGAATCGATAGGAGTAAAGTTGGACTCACAACCAAATCGACTTATGAACAGACCTCTGGAACCTAACTCGTTTGTAAGTAGAGGAGTTCCTGTAATGTAACAATTCGAGTATTTAATTGCCTGGTACAGCTGTAATCATATATAAACAAAAACTCACACTCGGCAATGACAGTATGGCCCTAAACTGAAATATACAATCGGCGGCGTTTCGGAAAACTGTCCTTCATAGCACAGGGTAATTTCCCGAAACGTTGCCTATTATATACTTATATTTTAAGGCAGTGTTATTGACGAGTGTGGCAATAAAATGAAAAAAGATATAGCGTGCGACGTGTCGGGCAATGACCCTGTGCTGTGAATTAGGGCCATTGCCTAAAACGTCTTTAAATTTTGTTTCTGTTTATGGCCAATGGTGTTATTGACAAATGTCGAGTTTTTGTTATCTGTGCACCATATGCCAACGCACCAGCAAATGTCTACAATTCCATAGTTCCACCCCGAAGTGTGCGTTGTGTGTGTTTGTGTAAATATCAAGACACATCAGCAATTTAACATAATCAGGAGAGTATATATACACACATACAAACATGTATGGCATTGTGTGTGTGGGAGTCAATATGAACGCACGCGTCTCTCTCCACGTGCGTGCGCTGAACAAGAGGCCCGCACAGCCAAACCCGCTGGTACGTTGTTATATTTTAAGAGGGCTCACACAACTCCTAACATACGGATGCATTTCGACATGTATATTTTGTGATATTACCTAAACATTGCTATGCTATACGTTCATGTTGCAGCCCCAAACCATCGGTCATTAAATCACGGCCATCATCATCAACAAAAACAATCATCATCATACTCTCTGGTTCTTTCGGTAAAGTCACGTAGATAGAAAAAATAATAAAAATAAAAGAAAACACGACGTTTCGGTCGCAACACAAGCGTCCGTCTTCAGGTGTGAAAATCATCATCTTCTCCTCGGGTCGATAAAATAAATACCTATTTGTGGGAATCCTACATAGGTCGCCCGCACGGAGACACCTGGCCCACGCCAAGTGCATGCACTCTATAGCCCCCCATTTTTGTCATCAATCTACCACTGGATGAGGGTCGTAAGTTGTTGTTTTACCACACTTATTCACCACAACAGAACCGTGCCACAACAGAACCGTGCCACCACGTCGCCCCGCAGTAGCCGCCTATAACATCGTGTTATGCGTGGTGGTTGTGGTGGTGGTTGTGGTGGTTGTGGTGGTGGTGGTTGTGGTGGTGGTTGTGGTGGCCCATCCAAGCACTGCGGCAGGCTCACGCCTCGCTGAGCTTGCTCGTTCGGCTTAATCGAGCTCGTTCGGGGCGATGGTCGTGGTCCTACTAAACGGACTTTACGAAGTGAATCGACCAAAAAAATTGTCACGGATCTGCCTCTGTCGAGGAACAGAGGAGAAGGCTATTTCCCTTGGTGTTCTATAAGCAACATCAGCAGCAGCAGCATCACGATGTTTGTTTTACCGTGCATCATTCCCTTCGGTATAATAAATGAAATTATACTAACAACTCTGCCGAGTCGGAATTATTGAAACGTGCACGCACAAAACGCATGCACACGTGCACCCGGCCCCGAAATCCACTGCTGGATGAGGGCCTCGACGTCATGCTTGTTGCGAGTCGTGGGGGTTATTTGACCATACTTCACCACGCTGGTCCATGCCGACTGGTGAACACACACTACTTGCGTGATGTACACTGCAACGATTTCCTTCTGGCGAACGTTCCTTTCCGTCCAACGTTGTCGAAAAAACGACAAAACACCAAGACACAGATCCCCCGTGTAGCCTCGAACTGTGGCTAACACTGTTGGGGCGAGTGCTGTTCGCGAGCACCTATTAAGGGCCGGCACAGCGCACGGTTTGTGTGCGCAGTGCTGCTGATTGTTGGACAGCACCGGGCACTCGCTCGTTGAAGGCTGAGTCCACATAGGGGAGAGCCAGGATCGGTGCAGGTAACACTCGCCAGCTCAGGCTGCCACTCCCCGTGAGGACAACGAGACACAGATGGCACCCCGGGATCGCGTCCTCCATAGGCTGTTGTCGTGTTGTCAGCGAGCACCTATTAATCCCGGAACGGCGCATAAGGAGGAGAGAGGCGTGACCGATCCCCGGCTTGGCTGCCTTTGTCTTCCCGGACCATGCACACACTCACACACACACACAACGTGCTGACGATGTTCGAAACCACGACGTTGGCAGGGGTTTGGGGAAGCACTCCCGCACGGAGCGGCACCACGTGATCGTCTCTCTCGCTCTTGCGGCCACGTGGTCTCCCGCTGTGGGAGCGGTGGGGACAACACCCACGTTTTACTTCACTACTACTGCACTACCACCAAGACTACACCACTACCACCAACACTACACCAACACTACACCACTACCAACACTACACCACTACCACCAACACTACACCACTACCACCAACACTACACCACCAACACTACACTATTACCAATGCTACACCACTACCACCAACACTACACCACCAACACTACACCACTATCACCAACACTACACCACGACCACCAATACTACACCACCACTACTACACTTACTAATACTACACCACTACCACCAACACTACACCACTATCACAAACACTACACCACGACCACCAATACTACACCACTACCACCAACACTACACCACTATCACCAACACTACACCACGACTACCAATACTACACCACTACCACCAAGACTACACCACTACCACCAACACTACACCACTACCACCAACACTACACCACTACCACCAACACTATTACTAATACTACACCACTACCACCAACACTGCACCACTACCACCAACACTACACCATTACCACCAACACTACACCACCACTACTACACTATTACTAATACTACACCACTACCACCAACACTACACCACGACCACCAATACTACACCACGAC